ATCAATAATAGAGGAGGTAGAAAGAGATGCATTCTTAATATTACTACAGGAGTATGAAATAGTATTCCCACTGCTTTCAACACAGCTGACTGGATCTTGAGCGTAGTTTTTAACGTAACTTGTCAGATGACTTAAGAATGCAGAGGATGTGAAGGAAAAGCAGCCTTTCCTGCATATGGTGAATTGTATACATCTATAAAGAGTTATGACATCAGCCATTATGTTTATCTACTTAATGTGTGAGATTACCAGCTTGTAAAGAAGTTTAGTAAAAGTTTGAGTTGTAGGTTAGTGACCTCACAGCTGATTTCCTGTGGAGAGAGGAATGTGAGTACACAAGTTTTCTGCTATGTAAGTACAATACTTCTCCTTCCTCGTATCTGCCTTCTCCCGTACTATTGTAGTGCAAAAGAAATGTTTGTTTCTTGGTCCAGAAGCTTATTATTCTGTTTTCATCCTTCTCATGCATCATGTTGCAAGCAAAACAGAGAATGTCCTCTGAACTGGTATCTTTATCCTAGAGCTCTGTTTCGTGAGTGGATGAGTTGTTCTATTGTACTCCAGTGCAAGCTACATCATGTTCACGTGCACTCTGAAGCAGTTCATTCATCTTAGAAGTGTCTTGACATTATCTGGATTTCCCTGCAATCAGTGTCTCATGACTTTCAGATTTAACAGGATGTATGAAGTGCATAGCCAGGACTGTGTCCTGCATATGCCGTTTCAGTGCCTGTGAAAATGATCTTTGCTGGCTCATCTCAGTAGAACGCGTTCATTTATTATTCTCTAATTGATGGCAGGTCTCCCTAGCAGCTGGATGGAAATCTGAGACAATAATTTCAATGGATTATTGCATGTGGATACTTAAAGGTGGAGAGGCTATATGTAGATTTAGGTCTGTGATATACAGTGTTGATAATTTTGCTGACTATGAGGCATAGCCGGCACATTCGTGGTTATCAATGCTTCCTGACTCCAGACCCATTGTTCAGTGTGAATTCTTGCCAAACACAGCTGTCATGAAGATGTAGGCAGGTTTGGAGGGACATGGATCCTCCTCACACATAATGCATGCTTGGGACAGTGCAGTTGAGCTGCTTACAGCTTGCTGACTGCTGGAACTAGAGAGCTGGCAATGTAGGTGAGGCCATTTCTCTCTTCTAGTTTGCGCATCTAGGATGTGACTCAACAGTTCATTGATTCCCTGCCTATTCCTATCCTGCCCAAAGATTCCTGCCCTTAGTGTAGGACAGCACCCACACTAAGAAGTGACCCTATTTTTCTTGGTGATGTCTGCCCTGAAATAATGATTTCTTAATCATTATGAAGTACAGCCTAGATACATGATCTTGGGATTTATTTTTGGCGACTTGTACTGATGGCTGTGTTTAGGAAAAGAATGCAAGATGGATGCTTCACTTAGTTTGACTGAAAGATCAGGAGTGATGTTTAAGTTCATGGTGCTGTTCTAAAATTTTAAGTTGCTTTAATAAGCCATACACTTGATATAGATGTCTGAGACATTTTGGTTCTTCCAATTGATTTTTCTAGCAAATATAGCCCTGTGTCAAAGGAGAAGTATTGGTGGAATTTGAATCCATATTTCCATGATGTAGAAATTCATAAGGCTATCATGTGGATGTTGCAATTTGCTGTCAATCAAATCACTATCAAGTAAGGCTTAATTGTTTTTTTCTGGATGGGGTGTCATTCTTATCAGCTGTCTCAAGACCTTCACACTGACCTTTGTTGATATCTCACTCATATTACCTAAACTGTGCAGTGAAAGAAATTATAGCCTGCTAGAGAAAATAATACAGCAATATAGGATTGTGATATCAAGTTTGATAATTGAAATATAATTTAAAGCTGATACAGTTAAATCAGTACAAAATCTTAGGTAGGCATCATTATGTTTGTAAAGATCTGTGATTTGGAATTGTAATGTTTGGGGGTTTTTTGTGAACTTGAATGAATCCAGTTTTAATTCTTTGTTTGCTGAAGACAATAATCTCAATATGTATGTTTATCATAATATGTATGGATTCTGACATTTCTCCATTATTTGTGTTCTTGACTTGGTGTGTCTTTTTTTTTATTATTTTTTTTTTACTGTATTAGTGAAAGGAAACTGCTGGCAGCAGATAAACAATAACGTTTCAGCAGAGCAGGAGTCCTTGGCTCTTAGGTTCATGGAGCAGATTTCTACCTCAGAGTAGAAATGATATGAAGGACAATAGATTACTTCTATTGGGCAGCCATAAGAACATGACTCCTACAATTGTACATCTGTTGCTAGACAACACTGGAATTCTGGAAATTAAGCTTCTTGGCTCTGGAGGGGCATAGATCTCCATGATTACAGATCCAGAACCTCCCTAACTTTGACGTCTTTGTTCCAAAAGGCCTGTGGTCAAGTGGCCTTAACATCGTCGTTTAGTGTCAGGGTTCTGTTTCCAACTTAGGCAGAAGTGGCCTTGTAAAAATCTCAGGCTCTAACAGGTACGAAATGTAAAAATTCTATTTACCTGCATAACAAAGTGAATGAGGTTTTGGTCTGTTAAAAGAAAAAAAAAAGTCTTTGAAACTTTATGAATTTATAAGAAAGAGTTGAAAGCTGAGCTTGGAATCTGTGTTCTCTGGATGTCTTCCAAAAGGTATTTTATTTCTGCTTTGCAGATATTTTAGTGAAGCTTTTGGAAAGTGCATCCAACAAAAGCCATCACAAAGGCTTAGAAAAACAGTAAATTAATGGGTTTATCAGCCATGCTCATGGACTGAGGTGCATTATTTAATGCTGATGGAGGAAAAGTAGGACTTAAAACGTGTTTGGTAAAAACAGAAGGTTAGAGACTCGAAGTCACAATAAAGTATTTAGATAGACAATTCTGTATGTTTATCTTAGCCACGTGAATGTCTTCCTACATGGTTGGCAAAAATAATTTCTAGCATCAATTTTCTGTCCCCGCTAAATTTCAACTTCTAGTTACAAAACAGAATGACCATTCCACAAACAAGCAAAATCAGAAAAGAACTGACAGATAGTAACAGGGGTTTTCCCCTTTGTTCTTGTCAACATTGAAGGTGTTTAGGCAGCCATGACTAGAGACATGGCTGCTATGTTGTCATCTTGGCAGTCATTGAGTTTAGCTCTATGTGTCATGGTATCAGGGATGTTAAATGGGTAGTCAGTGTCTGTGGACAAAAAGGACTGTATCTGGGCTCTGTACGTTTCTTGGAGGGGGTGTCATCAGACTCTGTTCGTTACTGGCTGGACCCTGAGGGATGGGCACAGATTTCCCTTGACCTCTTCAGCTGTATTCCACAAACTGCCTGCTTTTTATTAACAAGTGCTACTTTATAGCTCATGTCTTCCAGCATTTGAGGTGTACAGATGAAAGTGAAGAGAAATTTACCACTGTGAGAAATACAGGCTGGAATTGTTGTTGTCTATTTTTACCTTTTTACTTTCATCTATTTCCATGTTTTATTGGCATATGTTTAATATGAAAAAGATGGTATTGGTGCTGATTGCTGTGCTGAGTCTTCCCTGGCTAATAGTCTATCAGTTAATTCCACATATACCTATGGTGTACAGCTTGTATAGCTGAGTGTGTGTATCTAGATGTGCATTTTCATACTTCCTGAGAAATACCTGCAAAAAGATGGTGAAAATAACTACCCAGAACCACTTAGACCCCTCACAGCCTTCTTAGGCTATTCCCCATCACAAACTGAGTGGAGATAGTTTGAATAGAAGAAACAAGTAACCTGATGTCTTGCATAAGTACTGGGTAGTACACACTGACGACCTTTTTGGTTTGGGGCAGCTAAGGGAATAGAGAGCATTGTAGAAAATCATTAATGTTTCCCAAGTGCCTTGTTCATTTATGCAGGGATGTCATAAGGTCTATTTCAGTGAAGGGAGAGAAAACAGCCACAGAGTGGGAATAAAAATCTCTTAGAAATTAAAAGCCCGTGTTCCTGTCCGCTGTCATGATTTAGAGATTAAACAGTGCATTTCCCTGAATCTTTGTCATACCGATGTCCAGACTGATGCCATGAATGTTTCATTTGCCTAATTAGAGTTGTGCCTCATTTATGAATGCTTTTCTGACATTATGACTATTCTGACACATGGAGAGAAATACCTGAAGGAAGCATTCAGTAGAAACCTCACCTCCACAAACCACAGGAAGGCCAACAATGTTGCCATTACTTGGGGCACTCATGGCTTGCTTTGGCTTAAGGATAATATTGTGGATAGGGCAACCTTGGGATTTTGCTCACGTGGAATGATGTAGATCACTAGTACTTACTTCAGATGGGTCTGATCTTTTATCTAATTATTATCTTAATTATTGTCTACGCATTATGTTTAAAATAATGCTGCTGAGGAGTTCACCGCACCAGTGCATATGTCCATTAAATGAAATAGCACTGCAGTGTTATCAAATAACTCCTAGATACAAATCCAGCCAAAAAGTAGGTTATTATAATTTGTCCTTTATTAGTGCCATAGGACACCTAGCCAAAATCCAGAGCTACGGAGACACATGTAAGCATGAGTCTCTATCTCAGAATTTTTTAATCACATTAGGCAAAGAGAAATAATGGGAAAGGAAGAAACTGAGGCAGGGAGGAACAAAATGCCACCATGTGGCTGGAACTAGAAAGTAGGATAGATGGTTACTTTAAGAGTAGAAAACAAAAAGGTGCAGCAATGTAAATGAGAATGTATTAACAACAAAGCCTAGGATCTGCCCCTCTGGAAAGAAAGAGGAAAATAATTTATCCACCCACACTCGCTTTTTTCTGACAAAGGCAGGTGAATACAGCTATGCTAATAGATTGTGACGCTCGCAACCCTGAGCTGCACTTAGTGATGCAGAACTGAGAGGTACCCATCGTCTTTAGGAAAACAATAGCTCCAGCAGCATTCGCAGTGGCTGCAGGGTTATGTGCTATTCATTCCCTGCACGTGTTGTTTTCATGTGAAGGTCTTTACAATCCAGCTGTGATGGAGTCAATGGGTGAAGCTCAAGAGCAACAAGAACAGCTGAACAGGAAGGAGCAGTCGCTGAAAACCACCCAGAAAACTGCACTGCTTGCTTGGGCTGCCTGGTGGAATGGATTAATGACTGGAGACAGCATGTATCTGTTTGTCCTCTCTCAGATACTGGTAAGGAAGCTTCTTGTCGCTTTGAAATGATGGGACGCTTCTTATAAGCTTTCCTGGCTTTGCAGGATTCATGGTGGACATAACAGTGGATTTAACTGTAGTTGTCTTATTTCTGCAGCCACCTGCCTCACCCTTTCTTTGCTAACAGCCCCTGCTTTGGGTTTCCCAGTCTCTTGTCTCATTCTCTTCCCTTTTAAAAATCTCACCATCTCACAACAGATGAATCTTCTGCAACTGATTTATATGAGGGTAAATAACAGTCTCATTGAAAAATGGTCTGAGTAGTGCATCCTTTTTAAAGTCTTTTGAGATAGGAAGTGAGTTCTGTGAGAGCATTAAATATAATGTTATTGCTTTTATTATTTTGTGTTAATTGTGTAGTATACGGCAACCTTAAGTGATTGAAATGAAATGCTTCAGTATGTGTGTTTTTATAGGGATAAGTATTTGGACAAGGCTATTTGTGAAAGTTTTGCATAGTGCGAGATATACATTTTAATAATATAAAAAGTTCACTGAATTCCAGTTTTGATTTAAAAGTAGTAATTCTGAAAATTCAGAAGTCAGAGGGGTCATTGCTCTTTAGAGGTACAGTCATTTTGCTAGTGTAGATCAGAGTAAGCTTTCTGTTCTCATTGATAAGCATCTAGATCATGCTGGCTGAGCATTTATCACTCATCTTTCTATTTTTGTGAAATTAGAGTCTGGAAAATACCTGAATTCTTAAAGCAACAATGATGATCAACATAAACTCAATGACAAGTAAATTAGTTAATTATGCAGTCTTGAAAAGAAATGTATAATGAGGAGAACTCATTATGTTTTTGTCTGATTGATTGCACAGCTTCTCTGCATGATGCTGTGGTACAGCACTTATGGGACCATCTCAGCAGCTCAGAATGCCTTTGACATGCTGTTTTACTTGCTTGCCCCATTTGAACAGTTTTTGTCAGATCAAGGAGGGGTAAGTGTCTTTGCTCATCTCTCTGTTGGGATGGTTGTTGTCAGTAGCCTTAGTTGATGCTTATGTCTTTGGACTAAATGTGTAATACATCTGTGTTTCTAATAATGTAGTGATTGTGCATTGTGTGTGTGTGTTCTGAAATAGTGGAAAATGTTTTCTGAAAATAGATCCGTATTTTGTCTTCAAAAAACAGGGCCAGATTTTTGGCTATGATGTTAGATAAACATAGGAATTTTTTTCCTACTGTGCAAATTATTGCAAATGAAACAAACCAATGAGAGATCAGCCTTATAATGCTTCATCTGCATGAAGGGAGAGCGTGGAACTCCTTTTATTGGGAGAGATAGAAGCTTAAATTCTTGAAAGAAATGGATGAATCCACACAAAGGATGCAAACTGTGAAATGCTCAGTCACTAAATTCTGGTTTTATTCAGTTTAAAACATATCTGTACGTGTAAAAATATTTCAGGTATATGAGGAGTACACGTACAATTACATCTACAAAGCTACCTCAGTAAAATTGCTTAGCTTCTCACTATGGCATAATGACACAGATACCAGTATGATTCATTTGATTAATTACTGGGCTAATTATACCCAGTGCAGATTTTGCTATTGTGGACAGAGCATTAATTAAGTGGTGAGCAGCTACTGACAAAAATCAGATGAAATATAATTGCCCTCAGAATGTTGAGATTCATTGTATGTAATCTTTGTAAAGGAAGCTATGCAGTACAAATAGGAAATCTTACGCAGTACCTCTTGTGGCTGAAGTACAGTGGAGACTGCTTTCTGTATTCCCTTAAGTGTTTGAGCTGCATGTCACTTGCTCTTTTTATTTAAAAGAAGTGCTTTGTCCTTTCTCAGTTGCATTTACTATGATGCATAATCAAAGCTCGTTACAGAGCACTGCTTATTTCTTATTTTCAGTCAATCTATCATTAACAATTTCTTTTTCTTGCATAAAATCACTGATTTATAAGATTTTGACTTAAAATGAATGTTCTGTGAGTTCAGCATGGAGGAAAGTGATTTGTAGAAAGCACCACAGGAACACCCAAGTGTGCCTCTGTGCAGATGTTCATGTATATCTTTAAAAATTATTTATTATAGCATTACTCACCATATAAATTTAGACTTGAAAACAGTAAGGTCAAACAAATTTGACATTTAAATAAACAAGAGCTCTTAACTATTAATTTTCTCTAGCATTACTGGTAGATCAGAAATAGTAAATTTCCTTGCACACTAAAGTTCATTAAAATCATATTTTACACATAGTACTGAGAGTAAGGATGAACTCTGATGTGCCTAAATATGACCAGAACTGTGGAGTGAATTTCACTGCAAGTGAAGTGCTGTGAATGAACCTGATGACAAAGTCCTCTGTGCCTGGGTTTTATGTAAGAACCTATAAACACAGAAGCAGTACTAAACATAGTTCAAAGCATTCTGCCAGGGAATAAAATTAAATTGACTGGGGCAATGTAACATGGATCCAGGCTGCAAAATCCAGCAGTGATTCCGAATTTCAATTTTGGGAATATATAAGGTGAGGACATGTTCATTGTTCTGCAACAGTCCTCACAGTGGAAACCACCTTAAGATGTGGTTTCAATTTGAATCTTCTTGAAAGCCTGGCATTTTTCTGTTGGTGGTGTTGGAAGCTTTCACAGATATGATTGGTCTACATGGAAAATCCAAGAATGGTAAATATCAAGAACACATATGCAGATGTTATACTGTGTCTTAAAGCACTTCATGATATCAATTCTGTTGTTTTGCAGGATCTAACTAGAATTGGGAATGTTGTGATATCATATATCCTGCTGTCCTTAGTTTCTCTAGGACTGCTACTTGTTGGATCTCTGGTAAGTACAGTACTGTGCAAGCTGTTTCATGCACTTTTTCAAGTGAGTTTTTATAAAATGTCTAGTTTACTGAAAGTTATTGATGTTATCCTCAGGATGATTTTAAGGCAACACCTTCAGGACTATTTCTATAAAATTACTGGCATGCTTTACATAGAGGAATCATGACTACGTTTATCCTTACTCAATTTCTTGATTAATTGTGGATTACAGTGATGGTTTTTATTTTCTCTATCTACAGATGGGCTGAGTGTTTTCATTTAGAATAGAAAGCATGTGGTCCAGTAAAGGAACCATCTAAAATTGCTGCCTTATGCAGAGCATCTGTTGACTGAAATGGTAGAAGGAGCTGTTGCAGAGCACCAGTATACCTACCAGAGTAATGCTTTTGTAGATAGATATAGGCCAAGACCCCAGGTGCAGGACAAGATTAGTGGCATGACCATTAACCTAATTAACTGACAACCACTGTGGAGCAGGAGGATTGCACTGCTTTTCTCCACTGTGTAAATGTCACAAAGGTGTGCATTAGATGGAAAAGCTGGGGAAAATTCTTTCATTTTAGGGAGCTATAACTAAATATGACATTTCTTATCCCTCTACACTGTTCTGTTAGGATGGAAATGCAGGTAGAAAATAATCACCTCCTGTCCTTATAGTAGAATATTTTCAGGCCACTCAGGAAGCTGAAGCCATGCAATGAGGATGCAGTTTGACTGATATGCAATACAATCAATTATATCTTAGAATCACAGGTTAGTTGGAGGGGAGATCTGGAGTTGAGTTTGCCAATCCAACATCTGGTTTTGAGACGGGGCTGCTGCCAACACTTAGTAAGGTAGCCAAACACTTTTCTACATGGGTTTTGAAAACCTCCAGGGAAAGAGATGTATCACCTCTCTAGATATCTAGATACTATGCTTTAACCATGTGGCACGCTTGGGGAAGAAGTTTATTTTAATGTCTGATCTTAATTTCCCATTCTGCAGCTTGTGGCCATCATATCTTGTGGTTTCACCTCTGTAGCTGCTCTTAAAATTGCAGTCATAACATTGGAACACAGTACACGTCCTGTGCAGTCAGAGCAATGGTCCATCTTTCCCAGAATCTTCTCTCTGATGGTGACATTAGGAGGAACTGTTCAGAGAGCATATGAACCTGGTCTCTTCCTGCTTATTATCTTGGTCTCCTCTTCGCAGGTCATGCTGAGCAGCAATTTGAAAATGTCTCTTTGCCAGTGTTTAGGGAATAAGTGTAAAATAGTCATTAGCAGAACACTGGAAATGATGTAGTGATGTACCTAAGCAGGATTTCTGAAATACTAGCCACATAGACAACAGACAGTTGCATGAAGACTGTTTTCGTCTTTGTCTCAACTAAGGATTTTTTGTTTCATTTTGCTTCTTGTTGTTGCTGTTTTTCCAGTGGTTTTTTAAGTGATGTGCTGCCTAGAAGCCTCATTGAAGAGGTGTTTTACATTGAAGAGTGCCGTTATAATTAATTTTTTTATTCCTAAATGTACTCTTCTTTCTTTATAGATGGACCTGACCCACTAGTCCCTCGCTACCATGCATGCTAGATGGCATATCAATTAAAACACCTTATATATTTTCTTATTCAGTAACTGTGGTTACTTACACTAAAGCCCTAGCAGTTACCTGGAAAAGGGAGGAGAAATGCCTGTTTATAGAGCTACTTTGTTGCCTTAATCTTAGAGCAATAACTATTGGGACACCTAACAATGCAGAGAAAAGGATTTTCAGAAGAAATATGAAAAGAACTGGGGCTCTGTCTTGCCTGTGCACATGATAAAATTTAGTTCTTTTTTGCATCGGGCAGTCTGTGACTATGATACACATGGAGCAAATTTTTCAAGAGAGTAGATCTCAGCTAAAGTTTGACGCGCTTCTCTGAGAATGTCCAGACACCAGAATGTATTGGAAGTTTACTGGTCACAGTGGAAATAACAGGCTGGGTAGCGTGCTTGAGGTTTGCGTTGGTGATGCTATCCATTTTCTACATTATGTAGCAGTCACGTTTCTCTTTGCTTTTGTAATTGCTGCTTGCTCTGATCAACTGAAACAACAGCATTGTGATTGCAGTAACTGTTGAGTGAATACTGCTTTTTTGTGAGAGTCTAACGATCTCTAAAACTCAATGTAGACAGAAGTGAAAACTTGCTTCACTTTTCATTCTGTAGACTCAGAAAAATAAGAGTATGTAAAGACACGTGAAAAAATTTCTGCTGAAAACCCTGTGCAAGCTAAAAATTTGACCTTTTATGTCGGCACATTCTCTAATTTCAACTGCCCACTTAAAAGCCATTACAGAAAAGTACAGAAGAGAACTTACTTTGGAAAATGCAACTCGTTCTTCTTAGTTTCAAAAGGGCACGTGTCTGTGCAAGACACTTTTCATGACACTCAGCCTGAATGATGCTTCTCCTGCTTCAATGCTGGAGGGATGAAATTGGCCTTATGTTTCAGGTTTTGGAATTCAGAAGTGAACTCGACTTTTTTATCCGAGGTCTGTACATAGGATTAAACAATTAAATGATAATATCTCAAAATCATTCAGCCTACCACGCATCCGTGTAAAACAATATGGTAGAATATTTTCTTAGATATACACCATTTCAAACCCCTAATTAGTATATAATACAAAATTTTAATACCGCATTTGTCCTAGAATTTCTCAGGATTTATTATTATATGACTATATCATGTTTAAATCTGACAATTACATTGCAAAACATGCCTCACTAATGGCCAAAAAATTATTTTGGTGTTCTGAAACTCAAAACAACTTGCATCAAACTTTAGACCTACAAAAAATGATGGACTTATGTATGAATTTAGACTAGACTGACAGATTATCAAAGATGCGCAGCTCAGGAAAATTGCGTTTACCTTAAATCAAGTGTATCTGCATTTTAGGTGAAAAAGAACATTAATTGAGGAGAGGTATTTGTAGTACATTCTGATTTTGCAAACAAGTCTGTGAAAGGTAAGCAAGTGAACAAAAGGGCAGTGGTGTCACGTTGGCTTGCATGTGATGATCACAAGCACATTCTGCTTCCGCTGTATTCCTGAGCCTGACCAGCTCTGTGGAAACCTCTGTGGCTGAAAGCAGATTTGAATCCTTGTAACACATTACAAAGCTATTCCTGCGTAGAACATTCCTGTCCTCTTTGATACTACCCAATTCTGATGTATTATAATGAATTGGGATGCTGTCCTTGTGACCCATCCTCTAAGCTGTGTGCAAGGACTGGCATCAACCAGAAAGGGTTTTTTTAAATGTTTATTTCCTCCAGTTTTGGCATCTGCTCAGAGCTCGTCCAGACCCCCCCTTTCCGCTCCAGGAGGACAGACGCCAATCTGTGAGCCGACAGCCTTCGTTCACGTACTCGGAGTGGACAGAAGATAAAAATGAGGATGACTTTCTAGACTTGGATCCTGTACCAGAGACCCCAGTCTTTGACTGTGTAATGGACATTAAAGTGGAGACAGATCCAGCTACTCTAACAGTTAAATCCGTGGGCTTGCAAGAAAGGTAGGGTAGATGTCCTGAATCAGGGGAATGCTTGGTTCCAGATTTTCTGGCTTAGTTCTGTGCCTAGTAGTAAGCTTTATTACCCTCATGAATGTCATTTTCAAATGTGGTTTTGAAGCTAAGCTGCTGCTTTATTACCTGTCTGTTTTCAGTCCATTCCTGAATATTAAGTGTGTTAATAAAAAATCATGCAATTTCTTGATAACACTCTACAGGTCTTATGCAGAAGTGTCACTTGTTCCCTTGGTAAGATCCATTTGTTTGATCTGTCTCTTGCCATTTCCCAAGATGGCAACTGCATAGCATGAAATCCACTACAGAGCAGTGAAATCTTTTACGACTGAAAGATGGATCTTGTTAATTCTTCTTTGCTGCCACTTGTACTGAAGGTTTGGTCTTCACTCCAAAAGCAAACCATAGTACAAACTATCTGCCCTAATTCGCCTATAAATTGGGTTACTCAAAAAGTGAATGAATTGCTTTGAACTTAACCCAGTCATGGAGTTTTAGGATGAGCTGATGTTCACTTCTTAAACCAGAAAGCAACAGTTTCTTAGAGAGATTCACAACTGGGAAAGAGCAGTTTTCAGACAAGAGGAAGACAGGAGTGAATCAGTACTGTTTTGTATTGCATTTCTCCATCTTTGCTCATACATATTCCAGAAGGGCCACTGATTTAACATGCCTGCCCTTTCTTATTCTGGGGACCACAGGAGAACTGAGTTTACATTGCTGGCAGCCTGTATTTTGTTTCTATGTTATGCTTTCAGTTGTCTTTGTGAAGCAGAATGAAGATATTTGGGATAGAAATCTCATACAGAAATTCTTCAAAGGTGATGTTATGGATAATTTTACTGCAGGGTCCAGGATAGGAAAAAATATCACCTTTCTTTATTTTCAGTTCTTCCATCTTAATTGGAGTGCTAACCCTAATTCTCATGTCTAGAATTTAAAAGACAGAACTTAAATGATTTAAAAACATATGGTAAGTTTCCAAAGGTCCACATGACACATTAAGAAAATGTTTTAGCAGAGGCTTTTAATTGTAGTGTAAGTTTAGAATGTTTTTCTCACACTTTATTTTTGTTTACATCCTTATTCCTCGAATGTCTTACTTTTTGCATTCTTCTGGTTTAAACAAGATATTCCAGTTTTGCTGTTCTTCACTATGGGCAGGATTGAAACGTACCAGTCATTTGAGCTCTGAAGTATTCCTAGTATCTTTCCATCCCTCTCTTTTTAAAAATGCTTGCATTTCTTCTTGCGTGGCAGCTATTCTTCAAGAAAGATGCTCACTCTTTCAAGGAAATCAGTGAATATTAAAGTATTGAATTACAATTAAAAATCAAGGAAGAAGAGATGTGAAGTGGGATAGCAGTTTCTTGAAGCTCTCTCAGTAGGTAGAATGTGTACACTAAGATGTAAAACAAACTTTTTTTCAACATATACAGGTGCTTGTGAAACCAGACATCATTTCAGGTTTGGGCTGTGCTCAGGCAGATTTCATTTACATCAAGCATTGGTCCCTCTTCCCTTGTGGTAGTGTTGTGTTAAATTATCTACCTACCCCTCTTTTTTTTTCTTGTTAATCCATCCTGCTTCTCCATCTTCCTTCCATCTCATTCTTAACCACCTACACCATTAAAAAGGGAATTAGTTACTAGCTGAGTTCAAAGAGCACTGGATGTTATTCTGGAAGAGACAATCTCATTTCCTATGCTGAAGTAGTACTAATATCTTTGTGTGTAGCCTCTGCTACCTTAAAAGAACTTAAAGCATTTGTTATCAAATGCAGTTATTTCTGGGGAGGGATGTAGTTAGCTGTTTAAAGCATAGGGGAGGATAGGTCAAAATATTTTGAAAAGGGCCACGAAAAGTTCAGTGTTTACCACTAGTGGTCATGTTTCATCCATAATCATTTACCCATAACTGTGAATCTTAGCAGGAGGCTGGCTGCACATTCTTTTGGAAAAACTCCTGAATCTAGAAAAGGGCTATGATCCAAGTAACAACTTCTACCCATTTCTCTGTGAGCTGGTCATCCTTGTGTGTGTACATGTTTTTTGAGCAGCTCCTGCAAACATCTCCCAAGTAGATTTTGCCAGGTGAGTGAGTCATCGAAAATAGGTCTACTGAGTGGATGTATAGAACATTAAATCCAGTAATCATTGTACTGTGTGATGTTATTATGATAAAGATGTTTGCAAATAGATTCCCTGATGGCATTTGTGTCTCTCTTTGTCTATGACATGAGATTGACAGAAACTCAGAAGTGCTTTACATATTTTCAATAAACAGTGCTGGCATTCTGACCTTTTTGTTTTGTTGTGTAGCTAACTTGCATAAATGCCACTAAAAATTCTACATGTTATAAACAGAGATGCTCTTAATTGTTTAAATACTGGGACTTCCTTTTTACCCTTCTCATGAGATACTGTTGTGGAGAGAAAACTTTTTAGATCGAATAATTATCCAATGTTATTTCTAGCATCTCATGTATTTATTCATGTTGAACTGTAATGTTTATTCCAAGATCTTACCTTGCTGATATTGTCTGAGAGACTAAGAGAAGGTTATTCAGTAGGATCTGGCCTGAAGAAAACTAATATATCACAGGTGAAAATCTTGGTCCAAATTGTCAGTCTGTTTTCAGCTTTTCAAAAATATCGTGCGATTTACACAAGTACGAAAACTTTCTGCAGTTGTCTTCTCAGTGCCTTTGACTAACAGGTTGCTTCAGTTTGGGTAACAAAATATAGTTGCCTTTTTATGGACGATGCTTTGACAGTTTGGGCTTTTGACAGTATTGACCTTCACATGCCAGTGTACAAAATGATCTTCTATTCTTATCTACGCAAGAAGCGTCACCAGTTTTTCAAAGTTACTTTTGTCAGAACTCTATCCATTGCTGATGTATACTGGCAGTGATAGGTCAGCCTATACTGTGGTAAGCAAATTGATTGCTCTGTTTTGCAGGAGGGGTTCCAATGTTTCACTCACGCTAGATATGTGTACCCCAGGCTGTTCTGAGCAAGGTTTTGGCTATATCATGTCACCACGGGAACAGTCAGCGCAAGAATATCTCCAGACAGCATCAAACATTCTTACTGAAGAAGAACTGCACAAGAAAGCTCTGGATTCATTCATACTCCAGGCAGAATTCTTTGTGAGTATCTGACTCTTCTAGGAGCATCCAAACAATAGAATGTTGTGTGTTTTTCCTGAGCCCTGCAATTATTTTCTGCGGGACTACAATAAATATATAGAAATTCCATCAGTGAAGCATTAAATGAAAACATTAAATGAAATTCATCATCCATCAAAATGGTGATGCCTGAGAGCCTGAAGTGATCTTGTCACATAAAAACTACAGAATTGATTCTGGAAACAACAGCAGAGTGTTATTTTCACCAGACTTCTTCCTTCTTTTCCTCAATATATTACTTTCTGGTGAAAAATCAAAATCAAACTTTTTCACTATATAAGAAAAGCCTAGTTTGCTATAGATGTTGCTTCTTGAAATTTTGAGTCACCTTAGGCATTAAATTAGTCCAGATGCATGCTCTCTGCTGTTGAATGCTTCGCGTGAAGCTTTGTTTTAAGTAGCCTGAACATTCTCCAGATGACTGAAGCACAGAATGGCTAGGTCAGTCAGCTAGAGTCTTAAAAAGTAATTTTTCTGCAGAACTAAAACAAGTATTTTACTAGCTGTAAAGTGCTCTGTTGGTTGCACTTAGGATTCTGAAGTATGCATGTTTCCTTCTTTCACTCTATCCAACGCTAATTGAGAGAGAACTCAGCCTTATTTGAGGGCAAAAAAAGTGTATCTACAGAGACAAAGCAAGGAGGTGCAAATTCGATTTCTGCAATCAATTAATTAGGATAAAGACCAGATATATTTCAATGTAGTGAGCATGCTAGCTTTTTGGATCATTGCATTCCATCTGCGTCTCTTCCCTAACTGCTTCAGTCTCCATTAGAGTCATTGTTTGTAGCTAACAAAATAAATGAATAAAGATGCTGCAGAGCCCAGGAGTGTTATGTCTACCCTAAGCAGGGTTGCACAAGATGGGAGGTAACCAGGACGCAGTCTGCATGCTGGGGTTTTTCAGAACATGGGATCAAGAGCTGCTGCAGCAAATGCTGCCTGCTCAAATATTCTCTTAAGCACAGAATCTCAGTAGAGTGGGAGGAAGATAATGTTTTGCAGTATAGCACCCCTTTCAGCCTGCCTCCTCTATGACTCTTCAAATGTCACTTGCTCTTGAGACTCTGAGATGAGAGAGATTGAACTGGTGTTTTAAAACAGGCTGACAGATATTTGTGGTGTATAACTTGCTTAGTGTGTTATGCAAGATGAAGAAAAGCGGCTTTTGGGTAGGCAACTCCTGATTCCTTTAAAGTAAAGTATGTTTTACTTGTTCAAGGGAGGAAATACTCACTTAGTAAGTGTATGAGTTGATGGCTGAAGAAATCCATGTGCAATTTGACCAATCTCACTATGGATTTCAAGCAAAGAAAATGATGTTAGAAGTAGGAGAAATGTTTCTGTTCTTTGACAGCTTTTGAGCGTGTTTTCCTTGTGTAGATAAAACTGCCATTTAATCACAACTTCATTTCTGTAAATAAAAATAAAAACCTAGTTTATATGGAACAGTTATCACCAGATCTGTGGCATATGTTTTCAATCTATGTCTAACCTGCTTGGTTTTTAAAGTGTAGATCCATGACAAAGCAAGTGGCTGTGTTTCACTTTGGAAAAGAAGTCAAATTTGTCATTTGCACAGCTAAGTCCTGAAATTCTTAAAACATTTGGAGTTCTTACTTACTCAGGCAAAGTTCCTTTGATTTTAACAACAATTCAAGTGGTGAATGAGTAAGTTCCAAAAAGAGACCATAAAGCTTGACTCAGGTAGATTTTTTTGGTGACTAAGTACTAAGTAACAAAGAAGGGAAAGCATGAAGACCTCATTCCCATGCAGCTCCTCAAATTGAGAGGAAACTATATCCATCAGATGTTTTATCATTAATTGCTTCTCTTTAAGGCCAAGTACGCTCAGTACTATATGAGACAGAATACAGATAATCTTCTAAAGTTTCAGAATTTAACATCTCTGCTTATCTAAATTCCCAGACTTCACCACCGGTATGTTCAGTACTACTGGCCTCTCAAATCATGTTCTGCAACTATACTGTTCAGCTCTGCTTCCAAGCTCTGTGATCTACTTTTCTGTTGAGACTGACTTATGCATCCTATCTTTTCACATGCCTACTGTCACCAGCTGACGGAAAGTCTTGTTTGTCCCTGGCTGTCAGTGGCCACATAAGTACAGAAAATGAGCACTGGAGAATAACAAACCCCTCTAATTTCATGTTTCCTTTAGAATGGCAGTATAGAGAGCAGGTAGTCTCTTAACACCTTGCTCATGGAGCTGTAAAATGTGGTGAGCAAAAAAAGATATACACCCCTGCCTAGCTCCATAGCGTCAGGTCAGTACACCTTATTGTCATAGTGTGTGTCATCTTTTGTTGCTTGTGAGTGTCACTAGCAGATGAGTTCCTTCCACCTTCAGAGAGGAAGGAGTATGAGTCAGAAAGGGTGGTGTCTGAGGTCCATCACTTTTGGAATAAAGTGTCTTACGTACCACGTTTAGCTTAGTTCTGTGCCTACACTTGCAATTCAGCTCTAATAATATGAAGAGCTAACATAATGCTGTCTCGCATATTACTTAATGAATTAGTCACTATGAGCATTTTTGTATTAAGGATTTTAGAAAAGAAAGCCAGTGACAATAAAAGGAAACATCACTCATATTTTAGTGATAAGTTGTTAGAAGTACCGTACCATATGTCCCAGTTGACTTCATCACTTTGCCTCCCTAACAGACAGGACATAATGGTTTTTTTTAAAATTCCTCTTGTGAATCTAATGACAACATACTCTGTGTTGGTTTTTTTTTTTTTTTTTTGAGCAGGAAATTCCAATGAACTTTGTTGATCCAAAGGAATATGATATTCCAGGCCTGGTGCGGAAGAATCGCTACAAAACAATTCTTCCAAGTAAGTTTCTGCTTTTTTAAGACACTAAAACGTGTTGGTCTATTCCATGTGCTGAAAGGTTTTGCAGTCTCCTTTCCAGGATACATCAAGTGTGCTGTACTGTCCAAAGGCCATGTTTATGAAGCAGCAACATGTCTTCTAAGTGTAAATCAAGTTTCAAAGGACATACAGAGCATGAACAACCTAAGACTGACAAAACATCATTAGCACTTAAGTTTTTAAGTTGTGAGGATTACATCATTTAATGCTGTTTACAATCTCTGTCCAAGAAATTGGCGTGTTTATTCAAGTGCTACTTAGTGGTTTCTTTGATAAACTCGTGTAGGAGGACTATGTTCTATCAACGTTATTTTCTTGAGCAATGTTTTTCTGAGACTCATGCTCTCACTTGGCATTTTGAAGTATCAGGAGTTGATCTGGTGGCATTAAGATATTGAAGAAAATCCAACTCTTTATTTTCTTTTACATTATTTTTATTTGTAGCCAAGAGTAGGAGTTCTGAGAATCATTCTGGTACAAAAATTTTTAAGAATCATGATTTTCCCTGGTGCGTTAGCTGAAGATGCAATTAGATGTCATGCCTCATTTTTGTTGTAAGCTGCTGTTGGAAAATGCCACTATTAGCTACAGTTACCTTTATTTGCAAAGACCAAATTGTTCAGTGTCACATTAGTGAAAATCAGTTCAGAGAAGTGAAAGGCGTGTGTTTACCTGTTGTTTTAGGCAATGAATCTGGATTGGGAATAGTTCCAGAAAAAGTGGTGGTGGGTTGGGCTTTTTGTTTTGTTTTTGTTGTTGTTGTTGTTGTTTCTTTCACTCTGGATTTACAACTCCAGCCAAGTGCAGCCCATGATTCCATGTACATTACCCTTCTGATGACTTTGTACTCCACCTTAGATCAGAAGTATAAAGCACCCAAATAGATATTTCATAATTTCTGTGCTAACGACTGAGATGAATAATTCAAGAATTAATATGCTGCTTTCTCTGGAAAGGGAAGATTGCAGAAGTTACTGGTGACTATGAATGTCCAAATATCTAGATTTTAAAGTGCTCTATATATTCTGAATTTGCTATCTAATGTGTACTTTGAGAGTTGGATCCACTTTAAATATTCTGTATTGTATTTTTAAACTCAAAAAGCATATTTACTACCGTTTTTCACAGATTCTTCCAGAGATGTAAACAGATGCCAACATACTACCATATATTTTTAAGAATGATCACTCCAGAAGTCAATTATTTGCTGGAAACTTCATCTCAGCCTTATGGATAATTGTGGCAGACAATGCTTTTGCTTTGATCTCTCCATATAACTAGTTTCTACTCTACTGTGCCTCCTAGAATTAATAAACATTCCATGCTTGTAATTTTTTTTTTTCCTGAATTCAATAACCATCAGTCAGTGTGCAATGTTATGTTCCTGTCTGTGACCAGGGGATGGCTTGTTGTATTTGAGGAGTGAAATGGGCTGATCATGTTCACTTTTATCCAACTACTTCCATTTTGAAGGATGTGCCAGTGCCAAGCATTAAAAAAAAAAATCCTGTTTATACTTCACAATTAAAAGCTGGTGATCCCACTAATTTGTTCATGCACAAGGCAGGAGGGGGAATTAAGGCATGATGAGGGGGAAGTTCAGTGCTTTTCATATTTCAACCATCCACTGACTGGTTTCTGAGTAGCCTGTACCAAAAGTAGCCTGCTCTGCCTTGTGTATCAACCTAGTGCTCCTCCAAGCTCTAGATGCAGGCAGCACTACTGGCAGGAACTGCTGAACGATTGGCAGCACAACGATCTTGAGCAACTGATTATCCTATGGAATAGCTTGATTGACAAACCAGATTCAAAAATTCAAACCCCTAATACAAAAACCTGAAAATAACTAAGATTCCTTTGCCAGCTACATATCCAGAAGCAATCTAGGCTGTTATCATTACAAGGTGAGCAGTCACTTATGATAATGATATGTTTCTTGCAACCCTCAAGATAATTGTAGTAAGTGAGAGACATGATAATAGTCTTGATGTATCAATTAGATGTAATTCATCTAATTTATATTTATTTCATAGTAAATTCTTTCTGCAGATTCTCAAATCTCACAACTGGTAGTAGAGAGAGTTAGTAGGTGACTTTTGGATGACAGAAGGATAGGTCTGGAAAAATGCCAAGCTAAGAAGGTTGATGTGGATATTTCATAAGTTCGAAGCTGCTTGTTAGCAGGCAGTCCTCTTCTGGGAAGAGCACTGTGTAATTTCCTTGAAAATTATAACTTTTCTCTAGGGCATTTGCAGGCGCTTTTTGGTCAAATAGAGAAGAGCCTTGTGACAGAATCCACTATGTGCTGGACAACATATTGCTGTTCTTAGAAGGGGGAAAATCATGCAGTCATTACCCGAGCTTGAGCAGGCTCCATAAAACCCACACAAAGATACTTTATACAACAGTCTTCACTACCTAGTCCAGTAAGATCTAAACATCTGGCAATTAGTGTTGCCTTTTAAAGGCGCAACTTGTTGTGGGCTTTCAGAAGTAGTCATTAAAAAGCAGACCATCTCCTGTCTCGCTATCTCCCCAGTACTAGGGAGGTGAATTGGGAAGGAACTGTATTTCAGAGGAACTCAGTAGTTTCAGTACTTCTGTTTTATAAAACAGTATCTCTGTTAATATATTTGTTCTGTAGATCACATAACACTGTGACTCTAGTATCTTATAATAGATAACATGAATCAGATCTGTCTGAGGACAGTGTTTATACTGAGTGTGTTATAGTATAGTAGAAACAACTGTGTGCTTGGTTCTTTTTGCTTGACCTAATATCATACCATTTTTGCTTATTTATTATTTTGTCCTGGTTTTTGAGCAGGCTCCATTTTATTTTTAATGAAGATGTTATCTGTTGTTTGTTTTTATATTCTCTTGGTGGTGCACTGTTGCTGTTTGCTAATTAGTACTGAACAAGGGAATTGATACTGCTCTAGAATCACGGTGATCACTGATTCTACAACAGGAGGAATTAAACAGGCTTCAGAGTGGGTAAAATTATCAGAAAAAGTTGAATGACTCCCAGTCACTCTTCACCTTGTTTTGCTTTAACGTTTAACATTGGATCTTTCCAAGGTCACTGACACCTGTTCTGATGACCATAAATGTGTGTAAATGTCTCTCTGTACAAAACTATCTTGTAACTCTCTTTCTCCTCTGTCAGCAAATGATAAACTATTGCTTATCTGTTTACACATTTCAGATCCTCACAGCAGAGTGTGCCTTACCTCAGCTGATCAGGACGACCCCCTTAGCTCTTACATCAATGCTAACTACATCAGGGTAAGAGCTCAGCAATCTGTCTGCCTGGCCTCTATCAGCCAATATTAATGTAAACAGATTTGCAGCATCCACTTACTTTTAAAGGCATTTTATCTCATCTGATTGCTCTCTCCTGCTTTCGTTATCTGAAAACTAAATCTCTAAGTGCAATTTTACAGGTTCATACCAGACAAAAATACAATTCTGCCCTTCTTGATGAAAACTGCTTGTCAGTTGATCTGAACTGCATGCTGAAAGATAAGCCTCAGTAAGCGTGTTGACGTGGCTAGAGTTATTTCAAGGCTCTGGACTCTCATTGCTGGAGCTATGACAGCATAGTGCTTTTGCGCTACGTACATATGTGCAGGAGAGAAGGGAAGAACTGATTTTGCAGAGTCTTTATTCCAACCAGCTTTTAAAAAATGAACCTTCAAGATTGGGAGTGGACATCGCTATTAAACGATATTAACGATCTCTTGTCGTTCTCTTGGCAGGGCTATGGAGGAGAGGAGAAGGTATATATTGCTACTCAGGGACCGATAGTTAACACTGTCAGTGATTTCTGGAGAATGGTGTGGCAGGAGCGTTCTCCCATCATTGTCATGATTACCAATATAGAAGAGATGAATGAGGTAATGGTATTACATATAGTATATATTTTTCTGTACTCTGGATGTATTTTGGCACAGATGCTAACTGAATAAGTGAACTGAACTTAGTTCAGTGGCCTCTACAATCAGAACAAGAATTAAATTCTTTAGGACTAGAGAAAATGTGGGCTTCTCCTCTTTCAGTTTAATTTACTGGAAGTCTTGTTTTTGTCTCTGACTTAACCTACTGCTGGTTTTGCCATTTTGCCTTTCCCAGTTGTCCTGAAGTCTTTCCAAACTGAACTCCATTTGCTCACTTGAAGTTTTCTTTAAAGGACTCAAAAAGGATTCTGATCTACCTCTGTTTGGTCTAGTCTTTGATCAACAGTGTCTGTGTTTTTTTTTTTCCTTGCATTTAGTATGATTCAGTGTCTATAGCCACCTTTTACACCTGTCCCTGACTTGTGGAAGTTGGTATTTATAGTAATCAACAACTAGAGCTGACGTGGACGTGGAGTCCATTTTCCTGAAACATGTCTAGGAAATAGTGTTGAAATATAAAAATTAAAATACAGAAATGTTATATTTACTTGTAGAAAGTAAAGTGTCACAATATTTCTGGTAATACGCTTAACACAATTTTTATTTGTAGCTTAAAGTGCTACTGACTTGCAACTGTTCATTACTAACTCATCTACTAAAATATTTGGCCCATAGTAGAGTGTGAGCAACTATGTGTTTGGACTTCAGTTCACAGGTTAGATGACTGATCTTCAGCCACCTTCATTGCCAGCACAGAATGTCAAACTAGGGTCTGGGTGTGTTGGACTTTACATCTTCTTTCACCTCTGGCAGTGAAATGTAGTGGAGAGATACAAATGGTGTTTCCTAAACTGCAACAGCGGTGTTTGTCAAAGCTTGGCCCTGTAAACTCATTAGGAGTTTAAATGAAAGGCTTTCTTTGGTGAAGATGCTTCAGACACTTAAAAGCCCAAGAATACAAACATACAGACAGTCTTAAGTGCAAGCTGAAAGCCTAGTGACAATCATTGTGCATTTGCAAAAACCTTTAACTTTCACCAGGTGTGGAGTAAATCACTTCAGCATGATTTTTAGGGGGGTGGGGAATAGGTGTGAACAAGACTGATACAGAGTTAACATGCTTTGCAAGTTAAAAATAAAAAGCATCCTTAAAAGGTAGTGCTGAAGTAATAACTTGCTTATTGATCAGAGTTGCCAACTTGTGGCAAATAACATGTTGAAATGTTGTGATATAATGTACCAAAACTGCTTTCAGGTTTGAGAGGAAAAAAAAAAGGAGAGGGAGACAGAGGAAACTTTATTCCTGAATGATATATTTGTTAAGAATTTCTTTCACTATAGTTTTCATAGCAAGATTGAATAGCAGGAATACAAATTCCCTCTTATCCTCACTGTGGAAAGCAGTATAATGCAGCATTGTTGCACTATATATCACAGGAGCTTGCTGCAGCCTTTATATAGGAAGAGAGCTGATGAATCTTTTCTGATAACTTTAGTGTCAAAAATTAAAAGGTGTCAAGAATCTCGACCATAAGTATAGGATAAGTCATGTGAGTGTCTCCTATGTTCACTTCCTTTTTTCCATAATGCATATTAATATAATAACAAGTTGCAAAAGTACAAAGATTCAGCACCAAAACCTCTGTTCTGCTATGGCTTTGTGTTCCTGCTCTGTTCAATGGCTTTGCTAACGTACATGTGTGGATTTCTGTATCTCAGCCCTCTGTCACATCTAATGTGAACTGACAGACAGCCCACAGAAATGAGTGGGCAATCTTACTCCATTCCTTTAAGCACAGCAATGTCTGTGCTATTGATAGCTGCTTGACAATTTTTACAATGGATTCTGCAGTTTGAGAGGAGAGGAAGTGAAAATGCAATCTGCGTAAATAATTTTACAGAAACACAGTGGGCCACATTCCCAGTAGGTTATTAACTGGATGGAACAGCACTGTTTCTCCCACTCAAATTTTGACTCAGTAATGTAGCAAGATACTTCTCTGTTGTTAGTCTTTCTCCTGAAATGGAATTGTTTCTGATGGATGAGGGCAATGTGTGATTTAACTCCCTTCAAGATTTTATGCTGTCATGTAGGAAAGGAAGCTTACTACCATCCTCTCTAACTGGGTTTGTCCAGCAGCAGGTTCTCATTCTCCTATGATAACAAGAAGTTTCTTCTTCCTTTATCACACGGGAGCCTTTTTCTTAGACCCTTCCTTGTTCATGTCATTTCTTGTCCATGAAACAGTCCCTGCACCATGTTGAGGTGCTTGTCCCTTCTGCATATTGATTGCCTTAGAGAAAGCATGTAAAAAAAAATATGTTTCAGTCCTTCCAGGGTAAAAGTAGTTACAGATTCCCATCCACTTGTGTATTTTATAAGTGCCACAATTCAGATTTACAAATGAACCAAAGTTTCAGCTTCTCTAATTGTCACTTTTTTTTCTAGATGCATCTCTGGCTGTGTTTTAGCAAAATCAAATGTAGTAGTCTAATATATCTCACAGCTATTGCATCCTTTTGGTTACTTAGCTCTGATGCAGAATTCTCAAATCATGTTCTTTTGTAGAACTCTTATGCGCACGATCATACTGAGAGAGCAGTGACCCTCCAACAAAAGTATGAAAGATGTATTTTGTATTTTCTTGTCAATTTATGCACATCACAGAAGCATAGGTGACAAGTCTGTACTGTACTGATCATAGTTACCTTAAGAAAATAACCAATCTAAAAACACAGGCTATAATAAATATAAGCAAATTGCTTCTGGTCTTTCTAGTGAAGCTTCAGAATGTTTATAAGTTGCTTAAATATAAGAGTGTATATATTTCAAAGAAATGGTTAGTTATTTGATTTGTACATTTTGTCAGGCTATCAAGCTATTATGAATGCAGCAAAAATCACTATAAATGTATTCCCTGTATAGAAATTGAAAACATGTACTTATTATAGAAACAGCTATCATTCATATTCATCTATGCATGCACGAATCCAATTTCAGAGAGGTAAAAATGAGCCTCCCTTGATGTCTGCTTAACTAGATTTATTTTTTTATTGCACATAGAAATGCACAGAATATTGGCCAGAGGAACAGATCACCTATGAAGGAATAGAAATCATAGTTAACCAAGTCATTCAAGCAGATGACTACCGTTTAAGGCTCATCACCCTAAAGGTAAATCGCTAAAATGTACTTAAAATAACTCTGCTATCTAAACTCTTAAACAGGACTGCTAATAGAGATCTGTATAGAAATCTTCTGCACAGTATACTAATGTACAAATTCTCACTTTTAATTACTGCAGCTCTGCCCAGTTCCTCAAAGACTACAATAAGTAGTGTAAGATTTAGACTGCATATATACAATCTGAACACTTCCGGGCCAATTGTAGTAGTATAGGCTTTACTCAATGGAAGAAATTGGTGGCTCATTCTGCCTCTGTCTTCTGCATTGTCTGATCACTTCTCTTATAACAGCAATAGGACCCAAAGGAACAGCACGAAGTTGCATCAGGGAGGGTCTGGTTGGGGATTTGGGAAAGATTTTTCATTAGAGTGTGGTAGGGCACTGGAACAGTTTACCCAGGGTAGTGATGACAGCACCAATGCTAGAGTTCAAGAAGCATATGGGCAGCAGTCTCAGACATAGGATTTAGATTTTGGGTGGTCCTCTGTGGAGCTAGGATTTGGACTCCATGATCCATGTGTGTCCCTTACAACTGAGGATGTTCTGTGATTCTGTAATTTATAACTGGTAATTTATAGTGATGTGTTGGTCCACTGAGAGCTTCTTACCAGCATTTGCAAGTCATAATACAGACAACACATGTGGATTTACCCACTGAACTCTTTGGTGGTGTTCTGTCGAATTCAGAGGCTTGTATACTCTTTGGTCTGTGGACTTATGCAAGGGGTTATTGATTACTAATAGGAAATTTATATTTGCATAAGATTTTATAATTTTTGTAGCAGGAGACCACTAGGAAACATTGACTGTATTTCTTTATGTGCATCATTAAGATGCTGGTAGATACCCACCAGCTGTTTTTACCTAAAATGACTTCTGTGCTGCTGACAGGATGTGAGGGTGTTGAGAACTGATAAAAAGATTCTTGTTGCCATTGTTTCTTCAGCTTCCCTCAGAGATAGGATTACTGGCCTGCATAATATATCAGTAGTGTGGCAATAACTCCTGCTGTTCACCATGGCAGAAACCCCTTAAAAATCTTTGAGCAATTTGGCCGACTTTGAAGATGTTTTAAGGGATCATACCACTCTCAGATACAAAAACTGTCCATGACCTTTATAAACACTTTTCACTATAGCATTCTATATGCTTATTTTTCTATGTGTAGTATTTTTCCAATTATTCATGTAGTTTTACTTACCAGAAACAGTTTGGTTATCTTGTGGATAGAGAGGTTAAATGGAATTTACTTAAGTGCTCAGATGCTACTTAGCCTGAAGTACCAGAGTCCTATTTTACAACTATTTTAATTGCTGGATTTTAGAATCTCAACCTATGACTTTTAATAAAGACAGTATATTTACATAACCTCTGTATATCCTTCATCTACAAAATCTACCCCTGACCTCAATATAACAATGCAATTTCTTTCCAAACTGAAAAAATCTTCCTTTTACCAAACATTTTCAAGTCTCTTCAGCCACATGCTAATAGGCAGAATGCCAGGATATGAAATCTCATGCTGGGACTGGGACTGTGGAAGATCTATTGCTCATGCATCAAGGAGAAAATCATGCTTTCCAGCAAGCAGAAAGTAAATAATAGTTACAAGTGTGTTGCAGACTTGCCCTGACCTTAAATAGAAATTATTCCAACATGCAGTGCAACAGCAAGAACAATATACAGCTTAATTCTGCTGGAATGCTGATAACTCACAAAACTGGTCACAGTTTAATTGTGTGTTAAGACAAAGGGGAAAGTTGATCCATTTGAAAATGAAGATTTAATTAGATCGCTTCTTCCCTAATCCATTTTACAGTGAAGCTATGCAAAGTTTCTCCACCCCAGGAGAAGAACGGAAGGTGGCAGTCATGGAGCACTTTTGTCATCCATTGACTAATAGTCATGGGGTCTTTAGAGTCTAGATGACAAAATCTATTTCCAGTTCTCCGTGTTAAATTTGCTGTTCTTTTCCCACCTCCACCCATCCTAAACTTATTTGGCCTTGTGTTTGAGGAAAGGTCGTGGAAACTAACACATAACTTTCTGGACTTTGTGAAGATATTTTGCATAGCCCTGTGCCAACCAGTTTATACAATGACTGAGCTGTATGTTACTGGTTGGCACCTTTAGAAATCAGGCAGAAAGACGTCACTTTGAACACAAAATCAGAAGCACTGAGTGCTACTTGGCACTCAGAACAGATAAAAGGCACATTTGCTATATTCATGTCCATGCTTGAAACACAGAGGGAAGGAATCAGAATTTGTATCTCATCAGAAACCCCGGACTGCATCTAGATATAATTCTTGCCTTCCAGTGAATCTGTCACCATGTCAAAGAGAGGAGTGTAAGTGACAGGAAACTGATAAGAGTCTGTCTGTCAGAAAAGAGAGAAAAATAATCTCCCATCTCTTATCCCTCATCTAGCTAGCTAGCTATCAAAGACAGAGATATGATTTCTGGCCCTCTGCCTGTCAAATATATTATGAAAGCAATTATGTCACGAGTACAGCTCCAGCTCTGCTGAATGAATCTGTCAAGAGGGAACAGACTGTTTTGCACACAGCTCTTGGCGCTAAAAGAGCAGAGTACTTTGGGGAGGTGGGGGGGGTTATTTTTTTCTTGAGGCAGTTTGCTGAAGTGTAGATGCAATCTTTGAAGTCCAGATTTTTGTGCTGTGTGGCTTGTCATTTGCATCTGTTGTTTCCTTTAGCATAGATTTAGTTTTCAGTATGACTTAAAATTGGAATTTTTAAAAATGGTGTTGTCCTGAAAATGTGATGTTTGTCCTAACTGCATTGCAGAAAGGAGAAGAAGTCAGAAACCTGAAACATTACTGGTACACATCTTGGCCAGACCAGAAGACACCAGATCAAGCTCCTCCTCTGTTACAACTAGTACTGGAAGTGGAAGAGGCAATGCAGAATGCAGAAGAGAAGAATGCTCCAGTGATTGTTCACTGCAGGTGAGTAAGCATTGTATGCTGCTTTGCATACAGTGGCTCGCTACAGGTGCTGTCATTGTTGAACCATTGGTCAGAGACATGCAAGAGATCTGGTCCAACTACTTTAAATTTTCTTGGAACTTCTAAAATTTAATAACAGTTTTCTGTTGCGCACAGATACAGACTGATCTGTAGACAGAAGTTGTTGTTGTTGGTTTAGTTATAAGTTACAACAACCGTATTTCGTTTGCTTTACCAGAAATATATGCATTTAATGATCTTGAAAGCACTACTTTACCAAAACTAAACACACAATGGGTGAAACTGAGTAGGAAGATGCATGCAAGCAGAAAAATGAGAACATTTAACTTAAAATAATAATACATATTTTAAAGAGGGCTTTAAACAAGTCTTGTTTTGCTAGCATTTAGGAAGATTAAATGTGATTACTTGAATACCACAACTCAATCCTCAAAACAGTTATTGCAGGTAAATAAAGGGAAGTCTGCTAAGTAATGTAGTAATGCTACCAGGATAATTTTCCATAATTTCAGTAAAAGTACATTTTGCCAAAAATGCCTTTGGAGTTTCTGTAAGGAATTTCATCTAATTCTGCATAACGTTTTCTAGGAAATGTCAGATAGCTGTTATCTGAAAACCGTGGTAAAGAGGTTATTAGACAACAGGAACTTTTTTTTTAAAGTCACTCTAGCATGAATGGTTCATAGCCCAGTGTTGTCAGAGATCCACCTATCAGCAAATACAGAGAAATCATTAATAAAATGATCATATAATGCTGCCCTAAATAGTGTTGGAATCAGATATTTTCAGGTCTTGATTGTTTGATGAATTGGATTACTTAGAATGTGCCTTTTAGTGCAGCTAATAACAAGATCATACATCTAGTATAAATAAATGGATGTTTTACTCAGGACTGATTTCCTGGAAAGAAGGCATCTCAAAAAAAAAATGACTTGGAGATTGGATCAGTTGGTTATGTGGACTCTTTGTATAATGTTGAACCCAGGAGGTCAAATACAGTCTTTCAATCCAGAAAAGGAAAGTCAGTAAGGAATGTACGGTTATCATTTCCTCTATATGTACTACTGTCTACTTTTTCTGCTCGTGTTTTAAACCAATTTTTGACAAATAGGGAAGAGTTCAGAGAAAAATAAGAAATGGCTTATAACATGGTTCCTTTTGCAATGGAGTTCCCCAGTTCAAGAAAGACAGGGAACATCTAGAGAGAGTCAAGTGGGGGGCTACAAAGATGAGGGGCCTGGATAATTTCCCTTTGAGAAAAGGTTGGAAACCCAGGACTGTTCAGTCTGGAGAACAGAAAATTGAGAGGGGACCTTACAAATGCTTGTAAATATCCAAAGAGTGGGTGTCAAGTGGGTGAGTTTTTGGTGGTGCCCAGAAGGACAAGGAGCAACGGGCAGTAATGGAAACACTTGAAGTTCAATTTGAACATGAGGAAAAACTTTACTTTGAGGGTGACAGAGCACTGGAACAAGCTGCCCAGAGAGACTGTTGGACTCTCCTTCTCTGGGGATATTCAGAACCTATCTGGATGCTTTCCTGTGTAACTGTAGGTAACCTTTTTTAGCAGGGTGGCTGGGCTAGATGATCTCTGGAGATCCCTTTCAACCCCTGCTATTCTATGATTGCATGATTCTGTGAAAACCTGTGATTCTTTAAGAGTTCGTTTGAGAAATATGGTATTTGCTGCAGGTGAAAAGTCTGATCACCACAGCACTCTTGATTTGCATATTTGCCTTTTCCTCTTATATGGTGTCATGCCCATGAATCCATCACAGTATGAGGAAAATAGGTCATTTTTATGTAAAGTAACCACAAATAGACATGGTGATGAAGCTATGAAGTATTTTGTGATAACTGAGGACCAGTGCCATTTCAGATTATCCTCAGCTGCAGGTATTTTCTCCAGGAAGGAATTTAATATGTTGCCTCTAATTGAGAGTGGTGTGTGCAAGCAAGTAATTGGGTGAGGTTTGGATTCTGCACAGTACTTGCAACTTGTTCCTTTTGCTGCTGTGGGAGATCCTCAGCAGAACCATAATCATGGTGATTTTGCCCCTCAGTGATGTTAAAAATGAGTCTGATCGTGAAGAAATTCTTAAAAGCATCTTCATTAACGGTAGACTAGGAGTCCAGATGAAGTCCTGTGGATAATGTTGAAGTCTTGGAAGAATTATGACTTTGTCTCATCCACTGTAACTTGGCCTGGGGCAGTGATGTCTCAGTGCTGTTAGATTTCTACAAAAATGAGTGTTGTTCCCTTTCCTTGCAAGATACCGAGATCTATAGAAGGGAACCTTTATACAGTAGGTATGTACTGTTTGATTATGGCACTCTGAAATGTTTGAAATTTTGATAAACAAAAAAATATATCAGGGCATGAGGCACAGAGAGTTGAAGGGACAAAATCTTTAGATCAGGTAGATACCACCATCACAGTTATTCGAAGGCTGAGATTCAGGACTAAGTTCATCCAGCAGATTTCCACTGAATTGCCTCAATCATTCTGTAATATAAGTTAAAACAATTCAAATGCATCTGATACTAGTGCAGGTTCCCTAACAAGTATAAACATTGAATTCAAAGTCTATACATACGAAGAAAAACAGTATTAAGAGTTTGCTAGCAGCAGCCATCTGTAGACTCCGTTGTTGCTTGTACATTTGTTACCAGTGTTCTTGTGTTGTGACCTGAGCACAATTTAAATGAAAGCAGGAATTCTTACAGAGAATTATAATTATTTAACACATAAGAGGGACTGTCAGAATTTGAGTTTTTTATAAGGTGATAAGAATTCACAGCTTTCATAACACTGTGCCTTTCAGAATGAAATAAATTCTGGTCACTTACAAAGACTGAATCAAATACAGAAGTGTTCAGAAAAGATGAATTTTGGTGAATTTGTTCTCTCACTTTGCTAATTCAGAGAATTAATAGACTGCAGATTGGAGAGCAAATGTAATTGTACTTGTCATATTGCTGTTAGCTCCAATAATCTAACCAAGAGTTTTTTTACTGTACACGTGAATGAAAGTAGTTTTCAAGAAGCTGTTAGGGTTAAGAATCTCAAAGCAAAGGTTGCCCTCAAAATAATGGTTGCCTTCAAAGCACATCTAACCAAGAAATACTATTTAACTGTTTATTTTGACAAGTTCAATGACATTAGGTGAGACAGTACATAGTACATTTTTATCTCTCTGTGTGCAATACAAAAAGCTGAAGCCTTTTGGTGTGAGTAGCTCACAGTGTGAATTATGTTGTTCCATTGGAGCTATTACCTTTTCCTAGTTAAGGCTTCATATTCAAGAGCACCCATCCCTCAGAGTTTGGAAGGAGGAAAAAGATAATGGGGTTTAACTGTTGGTTTAAGGGCATTTGTTTAACAAGAAAGATTCCAAAGCCATTCTAACATCTTTGCTGCCTCTCTCTCCTTTTTCCTCCCTTAGTGCAGGCATCGGGAGGACGGGCTGCTTTATTGCAACTAGTGTCTGTTGTAAACAGCTGAAGAGTGAGGGCATAGTTGACATATTGCGAACAACTTGCCAGTTACGGTTAGACAGGTAAGAAAACCCATTTCCTTTCAGAAAAATAAAAAGAAAAATGTTAATCTTTCCCTTTGCTTAAGGAGGAACAAATGGGAAGTGGAGAGGAACAAAGGCCAATAAAGGCTTAGAGAGAGAACATTCCTGGAACGAAGCAGTCCTGTTCTAAGCAGCTTTATCTTACTCATGTTATTAGAGAAGAAAACCTTAACAAATATCCTTAGCAACTGAGCTAGGTTCATGGTTGGCATCAAAATCTGCACAGCTGTGCAGACTTCAGTGCAGTAAGAGATGACCGTTTTCACCAGCAGAGGAGTTGGCACAATGTTCATAGGGCTCAAATGGCTGTTGCATTTGATTCAGAGCTGTAGAACAGCTCTTTGCTCTCAGGAAGAATAAAGAAAACTGGCCTCACATAGTTGGAACTGTGGATGCTGTTGGCAGGGCATTGCTGCTTGAGACATTGCGGGAAAGGGAAGAGTATACTTAGGTTGGAGTGTTTGCAGACATGTGAGAGGAGCTGTGAAAATCTCCAGAAATTCAGTGGCTTCCACTTAAGTATTTCTTAACACACCACCTTGAGTTTGATTATGAAGTAAACAGATTTGAATTTGCACCAGTGATGTTATTTTTTTTTTCCTCTCCCACTGGTTTCAAGTGCCATCAAAACATGTCTCAGTGTTCTTTTCTAACGATAATGATAAATGTAGTCAGAAGAAGAAATGTCACGAAAAACATACCAAATATTTTTCTGACAAAAAAAAAAACCCAACAACCTCAACCCCATACTGAACTTTATTTCAGATGAAAAACTGTGCTCGGTGGGAGGCAGAAAACAAATCACTCGCTGCCCTACTGAGGCTCTGATAGAGACCTGCAGGGGCTTGGAAATTTGGCTATTTCAGTGGATTTCAGACCTGACAAGGGAAGACTTCTTGAGGGAAAAAAAACACTAGAATGTGATTAAGTGAATGCTTGTTGGCCATGGTCCAGTGAAATATCTGGCAAGGTCTAACATATCTTGTGTTCATTACTAATGTTACGCAGGAAAACAGCCATACAGTGGTCAAAGACACCTTTAAAAATATGCTTGATACAGAAAATAAATTAAAATTACTCATTTTTTTTTTTTCTAGGAGAAGGAATTGCCAGTTATTTGTAGATACTGGATAAGGGAGATTATGCTTAAGGGATGCCACAGAGCAAAAGGAAGCCTGCAGGTGCTTCTTGCTGCCATGTACATCTCAGTAGACAGATGGGACATGAAAAAGCTATTTAATAACACGAGAGGAAATACTCATGATGGAAAGCAGACAAATCACCACCTTGCTGTAGGAAAGTGTGATTTTTTTCAAGTGGTGAAAAATGGATCTTGAAGTCATATTGATATCCAGTGTCACAAAAGCTTTGAGTGACTTTGGATGCTACACAAAATGAGCCAGCAGCTATGGGAAGGATCCTATCCATCTTCTCCCATCTGGTGGCCACTGACTAGAGAAAGCACATGAGAAAAGCAGGTTGGATGAAGGCCAGAGCAGATGCTTAATTGGGTGTACCTCACTGCTTTACAGCAGCAGTGATGTTGCCCTAAGAACCCACTTTTAGGATTCTTTTGAGGGGCAAAAAGGTCATGTTTCATTCCCTTCATTCCCTCACAGATTCCCTTTGCTACAAATCTGTGCAAAGAGCCTGGACACAAGAACCTGCCGTCTATGCTGTATATGTGGGAAAGGGAGGAAGCTACCATATAGCAAGGATCTCAGTGTCCACGCTAGTGCTTCTGTTGCTACAACTTCAGTGTGCAACCTCATGTTAATAGATTGCATGGGGAATTATTCCCAGATATAACTTAACGTTCCTTGTTTGTCATGGACTGACATAAATATATTTAAATGCTTTGCATGACATGGAATGACTCAGTTTGCCTATTTGTATTAAGTAGAGCAGATAGAGAGGATTTCCTAAGAAATAGTTTCTTTAAAAATGCAGTTTGTGTTTCCCACCTTTGCTTATTGAAGAAGAATGAAAAGAGTAAAGTGAAGTCACTGATGAATAGGAAAAAATAACAGGCAACGGAAAAGTGGGATAATAAAGGAAGAGAACAAAAAAAAAAAGAAAGTGATGCAAAGTCTCTTACCTTCTCCCATGAAGAGATAAATACCTAGCAACTCCTCCAGTAAAAAATAAAAAATAAAACTAAAAAAAAAAAAAAGGCTAGTAATCTAACTACTCTCTCCTCTGTTTTGTTGCTGAGCAAGGTGTTGAATGGTCTCTTTGGTCAGTTCTGATTATCTGCCTGATTATCTTCCCACTCAACTTCCTGCACATCCCTAGTCTATTCAGTGGGATGGAAGAGTGAGAATCAGAAAAGTTCTGACACTGTGCAAGCACTGTTTGGCAACAGTCACAATATTAGTGCATTGTCAACATTGTTTTGATCACAAATCTAAAACCTATCATCATTTGAGGTGCTACAAAGAGAACTGCATCCCAGTCAGACCCCCACGAGTGAGCATTCCTATGACTTTGTCTGGCTTTCTTAGCACTCCTGGACACAGGACCTCCAGAGTAACCTGTGGCTTCATCTCCATCCATTGCTGGTTGTTCTCCTCCACTGCTTAAAACAGTCCCTTAACAAAATAATTGCAAAAGGTTGAAGGAGGAGGCTATTTTATTACCTCATCTTACTTCTGGCAACATTACACAATTGTTAAGCTGAGCTCCATAGAAGAGGGCAGTCCCTAAGGAGGTGCTGCCAGTCTGCTATCCATTTGGCTCAGAGGCCCCAGTTGTTCTTTCATTTCCTCTGGTGGGAATTTCTAAGGCAGTGTACACATATGCCTTTTCTCAACCTGATACAGTCTGGTTGGCGCTGGCCGCCCATGGGTTCCCACATCCTCAACACCACTCATCATTTCAGACTTCTTTTGACACTGCATTCCCCAGATCTGTGTACCAGCACTAATGCTGGCACAATTTTGCATAAACCTTTGAATATGAGTCACAGGTTTTTATTTTCTTCAGAAGAGATAATCAAGAGATTGTATCACTATTGATGTGCTACTCTTAGCAGAATTAGGTGGTGTTCTTTTTGTTCGTGTTTGTCTCCTGCTGTAGTACTTGTGTTCATTAATATGCTATTTGCAGAAATACAAGGGCTAATGGTACATAGAAAAGAAAATTGTTTTTCTGCTCCTGCTTGCAGGTCTTTTCAGGTTTGCAGGTTTAAAGAGAACAGTAAAAGCTGAACCGAAACAGACTTCTGTGCTTGGAGACTCTTACTAGTCAAGGTGTGCATGGCAGTTAATTCAGTTACTAGTTGTCCTTTGTCAAGATTTCAATATCTGGTCCACAATCCTGCTGCGCATCACCTGGTTCCCTGGTAATCTTTCAAGAGCACAGCCTTGGATGGTGCAGAAGAATGATCCCTCCCTCTTTGCAGACTGGGACAGTTATGTGTTGCACAGATTTTCTGAGCTGGCGTGGCCTGGCCGTCTGTAGCCCTGAATTTGCTCTTGCATTCAGGCCGTAGTGCAGCTTTAAAGACTTAGAGAAGCTGCTTCAGCTCTTCATGCTCTCTTTTTTACACCTGTCTTTTTAGGGCTTTGGGATATGAGTTGCTTTTCACCATGAGATTTTAGTGAAATCACTCATTATTGTGGATGCCTCCTCCCTGGAGACTTTCAAGGCCAGGCTAGATGGGGCTTTGAGCTACGTGCCTTAGTGGAAGGTGTCCCTGCCTATTGCAGGGGCTTGGAACTAGATGATCTTAAAGGTCTCTTCCAACCCAAACCGTTCTGTGATTATGATGATGTTAAATGGTGCTTAGAGTACAGGTGCTATAGTAACACAAATGCAACAAATAATGGTGGTGTTGCCTTACTGGTTGAGTGCCTCTGCTGTTCTCATTCTGATTACCTTCTGTTACTTGTTAGCAGAGACATTCAGAACAGAGCTCAAGGTCAGACTGCAAGCTGGTTGCAGTTCATTGGCACTTTCTCATTCGTTTCAGTAGGCTTTGGAATAGAACTGTTGTATTTAACACCAGCTTCATACTAGCTGTGCCATTTCCTAGGATGTTATTTATGTGTAAAACGGTTGCTGTTTCCCTCCCCTTTTTTTTCTTTCCTTTTCAGGGGAGGAATGATCCAGACTTGTGAACAGTATCAATTTGTCCATCATGTCATGAGCTTGTACGGAAAACAGCTTTCTAGAGCAGCAGAAGAATAAGTGTTCATGATATTCCTAAAGGCTAAAACCAAGAGAACTTTTGACTGCATTCAGATATATTTCAGATCTAATAAGAGACACGTGGTAACCTGGCTGTCTTAGCTGGACAAAAAGATATATTTTACTTTGATATTGCTTTTATGCTCTTGTTTGCATTGACATTTAAGAGCTGAAGTACACCTGGTCTTAAACATATGTGACAGGACATAATCTTCACCAAAAAAGGCTTATTTATTTTGTAAATAAGAACAGTAGCTTCATTTGTTACAAAATCAAAAAAAGAAAAAGAAAAAAGAGCACTGTCTTCAGTTTGCTGTTTTTAAAACATAATTGCTATTATATCAAAATACAGTGTGAAACTTTTTGAATTGTCATGCTGAAATATGTGCCGTATGTTGACTAAGCTTGAAAGTAACTTTTTGCCTCTTTCTGATTGTTTTTACATATAAAATTACCGAATACTGTGTATATCATAAACCTTCTGAGCCTCTGCATTGAAAGACTCAAGTAGATTCATGTTGAAATAAGGATTCACACATCACGTTTGCTTGGTTTTATTTTTTTAAAGCAGTCCATCACTGGTGTTATCAGAACTATAGGGAAAAAAGTATTTCACTGATGTGAGACAAATTCTTGCCTCTAGTTCTTACCAGCAATGTTACCCTGCTATCATGACAACTTGGATGAATTTGTGGTGGATAGGGGAGAAGTTGAAATAATATTAATTCTTCAATTTTCTTTTCTCAATATGTTGGCATCTGACTCTGTAATCAGATTTGATTTTTGAAAGTGTTTTGTCTTTTTATGTGGTCATAAAAACAACAATCCCAGTAGTTTTGCCAGAAATCGGAGGTGAGGAATTTCTTTTTATTTGAATCCATCTTTATTTGAAATGTAATAATAAAATCACCCATATTTTGAATTTAAACCTGTTCCAAAGCTTTAAAGGAGACCAAATGGCCAGTGTCCATTAAAATTAATATGACTGGAAACGCAAATCCCATAAGCAGCTTAAGAAAAAATGATCACGCAATGTGTGGCTGCTTCTTGATAAATTTCCCCTCAAACTAAGTTTTGATAATGTTATCCCTTTGTAATCTCTAGCCCGAGCCGTAGTATTTCCTTTTAAATAATGGAGACTACTTCCCATGCTTTTGTTTTTAGACCTTAGTCTGGCAGTGAAGGCTTCAGTTGGTGTGTTCAATGCTTGGAGGTAAGCACGTGTTGAAGTTCTTTGAGCAGTGATAAATGGAGATACACAGGACCCTTTACATCAGAGTGATTTGTGAATGGAAGCTGTAATCATTTACTGGAAGTATTTTTGCTTCTCTATTTGTAACGATAACCAAAACTCACTGCTTTTGTTAGGGCAGAAGATTCTGTGGATTTACTTTGCCTCTTCATCAGGAGAAGGTAAAGCAGCTCTCAGAACAATAAGGGCTGATCCTGCTCCTATTGAGGTTTTGTCATTGACATCGACAGATGCAGGGTAGGGCCTGAAATATTATGCCTACAACTTCATCGCTGTGGGGAAAGTTTCCCAGTATTTTAGTACACATCCTTTGTGTTTATTCTGTATCCATGAGCCTGTAAAAATCCTATCAGCAGGGTTTGCATGACTATGTGGCAAAATGTGTTATCTTGAACTACTTGATTTTATTGCTGTATTTAAAATATTTCCTTCAGTGAGAAGCTAGCAAGAAGAACTGGCAATCTTTTTAAAAATACTGGCAGTAGTCATTAAATAGAGCAATAAACTTAAGCTTTTGAGCATAACATGACTGTTAGTTTTATGTAAACCTTGCTAGCTATATTCTCCCTATTGCTACTGATTCCTTTGACAGGGCAACACTATTCCATCTAAGTACTCCTTAGAAATAACAGAAGTACCAGAAATGTTTTGAATAGTGTTATAAGCGGAACTCTTGATAATGTTTTCAGCTGTTCAGTGCCCAACAGTGTCAAAATTAACTCAGTTAATAAAGTAACTTGTTCTATCATCAAATTGCTGTTCATCTACTAAAGAATATGTTGATGGTAGGATAGGATTGTGCAAATAAGAGAGAATTTGGCTCCATAAGTTGCCTTGTGTACAAAGAGGCTTTCTAAAAGATAATTGTTTTATGGCAAATAAGGTATGACAGTCTCTCACATACTGACTTCGAGGTGCGTGCAGAGTTCTTCAGCATGTATTAGTCAGTGGTGGTTCATTGACTTCAGTAGAAGTAAACAATTTATACTGCTGAGAGAAATCTAACCTGCTGTCCGCTTCCGTTCTGCATACATGGAATGTTTTGAGAGTGTGGTCACTGGTAAAGTCAGGCTGCTTTGCATCAGTTCAAAGCAAGTAGCATCCTACCTTATCTGGATATAAAGACTGCACGTTTGCCATCTTGCACTAGGCAAGTGCGATCTACTCACTCAAGATCAAAATATTCAAATGCCTCTTAAAGTGTTATTCTGTCTAGCAGTTGGAGTTAATTCTCCTATTTCTACTACAGCCTTATTGTAATTAATATAATTAACATATTTCTCTTTTTTTTTAATAGAATTTGAGGTCTGAAGGACCTTATATCAGCTTCTGATCTCTTCTGATGGCAGAGGTAGACTTAAGAAGCGTTTAGAACTAGCAGAAAGGAACTCTGGCCTTGAGATGAGTAGCACTTGAGATGAGTGAAACTGCCTCTTCTGCTACTCAGGAGATTTGAAACTGAGTTGACAATAGAGACTATGCTAAACTGTGTGTCTTGTCAGGCTTCCCTTTTTACTGGACACTCTCTAAGAAAAGAAATAATTTCTAAAATATTCTACCTGCCCTCTCCATCTTTCTACCCTGGTCTATTTATACCTGAAATAGCAGTACTAATACCTGCAACACAGTTGTTTCCCAGAGGACTGAATTCCTCTCTCCAAGTGTGTTAGCTTATAATAGCCTGAGATGATTTTATTTAGAACCAACTCCCCTGTCTCTTTCAAATGGCTTTTCACACTTACATGAAACATTGAACATGGCAGAACATAGCCCAATTTCTTGTTTGTCAGTCATTGGCCATGACGTTTATACAGTCATCCTCTTCCTCTCATGCTAACAGATCAGTGATGCTTTGTCCTTTTGTTAGTACTCTGAGATAGCCAGATATACAGCTTTACATAGAAGTAAAATCACTGAAGAGAGTGCAGTTAAGTTTAATACAGAAGAGCTTCTCAAGTTTGTCCTACATGTAATTCCCAGTAGCTCAGCTGGTAAGATTTATTCCATTCATAATGAAGCTGAACAGAGAGGCTAAACGATTTACTCAGAATTATAAGTCATATTGGCACCATAGCTGGTAATATGTCTCAGAGCATCTAAAGGATATCTAAATCTAAAGGATTTATCTAAAAGATAAAGTTGGTGAAGTATTCAGGTACTGTAATTCCTACCCCTCCTTTCTCTACAGTGGACCATGCTAATCAATTTCTGTTTCATATTTCTTCTTTCTCTCTGCCTGTTGCTTCTTAGGCTTAGAATACAGTAAATAATTCACTGCATTGTACATATTTTTAATCCAAAATGTTGATAACCAGTGTGTTTGAGGGAGCATCCCTCGACTCCCTTGAGAGAGTCTATGTTGCCAGGGACCCTTCCAAAGGCTTAGCATCTTCTGGCCACCTTTTGATCTCAATACATCTCAGAATTTTGAGGATGAAAACATCTCCAGTGGATTAGGCAAAAGACATTTCTGCTTTGGGAAATGGTAGTTTTTGCTTGAGTTGGATATTTGTACTCAGTATCTGTCCTTATGTCAGTATCTGTTTTCCTCTATAAAGACTAAGGCAACACTTTTCTCCAGGGTTCAGAGAGAAACGTTCCTGCATAGATCCTTTTGCTCCGATCTTTCTCCTTTGCATGCTTAGCTTATTTGTGTCTGAAGAGGATGGAAGGAAAGCTGTCAGAATTGAAGTCAAAATTAGTAAGGCATCACAGAACAAGAGAAACGTCTCTCTGCTTTTGGGTCAAAAGAAGGAAAACCAAGTGGGATTGGTTTTACTACGCCCACTATCATCTTGGTCTTCAGGCTTTTGGGAGAAACATAGAGAGCAGACAGTCAGCCATCACAAAAGTCAGGGTTATGAAGAGATGCGGTCACTCCTTCTCTTCTTAAGCTCCGTGTCTGGCAGCGTAGCCAGATTTATCAATCCAAACTGCAAGATCTCATTCATATGCATTGTTTTTCCTCCTACAGCAATATGCACGTATGTGTATTCACATGCCCACTCTGTGCCAGAGTAGCTGATCTAAGAACAGAAGTGTGAGGGAGGACTCATCAACACTGTGAAATGAACATGGAAAGGGACTGCCTGGCTTTAGAGTCTATTTGGAATGGTGGGTGGAATTGGTTTGGGTTGTCGGTTGTTTTGGTTTTGTTGTGGAAAGTTTAACTCTCAGCCCAGATTTCTCTGTGTCTAAGCTGGGCTCTTGTTGGGCTCTTGTTTCTGAATTATGTTATTGAAGGGGTAAGTGAAAGTTGGTTCCTTGATACATTTATTAGACTCACCATTCGTGATATCTTATTCACCTTACATCTCATTTCCACAGTCTTCTGATTTGATAAGTGTGTTTGTGTTAACAACAACTGAGATTTCTAGAGAAGGGATCACAGAGCCCCTATCACACTGGAATCGCTCTTTAGTCTGTGAACCACAGCATGTGATTATTTTTGTATGCAGTGTTTTCAGCTCATTGAAAAAGATGACAATGTTTCAGCCTTTGCACATTTTTTTCTTGATTTCTGTTTGTTTTAAATTTTTCTTTCTTTTCTTGACCAGTAATCTAATATCATCAGTAAAAGTGATATATTCCTGGGGATTATGCCATTGTTTTGTGTGGAGTTTACCCTTAGAATTATTTCTGTCAGCCTCTGGAAATTGGCTAAATTTTCACATTCTTTGATTTTCTAAAGTTCCTGTGTTTTGTAAAGTGTAAGTGGATTATTACTCTAGTGCATTCTGTAGTAGACTCCCTACTTGTTTGAATTTAGCCTAAATACAGAATACATAGCACTAGTCTGTTCTAAACAGAGATCAAATGCAGTCAGTGAAGAGAAGCAATTTATTGCCACTAGTTCGCCATCTGTCACAAGCAAGATATGTAATTTTTGTCCTTCAGAATGGATAGGTCTGTACTGATGCAAACTGGCTTATTTTTCTAACAGAGCACTTACTGGCCATAAAGTAGTCAGATGGAAGGATAATAAAAGTAGTAGCCTAGCATTTCAGAAAAAAAAAAGAATTCTGATCAGTCATTTCTAGTATATAGCTGGCGCAAGCTGCTAGATCTTAAACTGTACAGTTTTCACATTCAGAAAGTCTAAGGTCAAAGATGAAAGCTTTCATCAAGTAAAAGAAACACAAGTAAAGGGAATTCCATTTGAAGGTGAAAGGTGGAGCCATTTGAATGGTGGTTTGGTGAGTGGTTTTTAAACAATGTCACTATGAGTTTTAAAGGATTTGAAAATCCAAATGCATTCAAAAATAGGCAAAGGACTGGGCAGTAGATCAGGTGAGTAATGGAACGTGCTGTGTGCCTTCTCACTTTATCATTTGATGCTGCTGATAAGAAGTTGCCTCATAGTGGCTGAGGGCAAAATATACTTCTTACAAGAATGTTTGGGATTACAGAATAACATCTCTCATCTTTTCCTAACCAGCCCCATTCATTCCTGTCATCCTCATTACTGACCGTTTGGATGCAAGAGAAGAAAGAGTGAGAACAGAACAGCGAAAGTGAGGGCAGTAAGCAGAAGAGGATAAAACCCCTTTGGGGCAGGACCAGGCAAAAGTAAGAGTGATCTTTCTCCTGGATTCAAAAATCATATTGCTATGAGAAAAATTCTTGAGCAGAAGATGAATGACAGCAGTGTCTAGAGATGCGTGATATCCCTTTGTATTTTTTTAGAAGATACAGTGAGATACGTAGGCTATAACAGAGACTCTTTAATTGTTTTCTGCAAATAAGGAGTCAGAGAACATTCATCTCTTACGCAGGCCAAGAAACAAAGGCCAGCTCCACAAGAATACCAAAGTGTATGTATTATGACAAGGAATAGGATCTCCTTGGGTAAATGCCAAAAGAGAGCACTCTTGCTAAAGCTGTAATTTCTCCTGGCAACGAAGCAAAGTCTGGAGGTCACACGGTCTTAACATTGTCCTCTTTGTTGATTGTGTCTTCTAGATTGCAGCTTGTAACTACAAACTGTATCAGAGTTGAAGCCTGTACCCCTAACTTTGGGGAAGGTTGTGTTTTGGGTTGCCTTCCTTCTGCCTCAAGAGCCTTCAGTGAGAACACAACTGTGTCAAAGTTTCATTTTATCTGCCTTGTCAAGGGACACTTTCTAAAACTAGGGATACTCTATTTCTAGATGACTAGCACCTATAACTCAAAGACTAGAATTCAGTAGTTTCTCTACTCCAACTCTTTCCTCCAACTCTCTACTCCAACTCTCTACTCCAACTCTTTCCTCCAACTCTCTACTCCAACTCTCTACTAGTCTTGGCACAGCAGTAGGTAGCAGATGCCCTCCTGGAAACGGGTCATATGCTTCCAGAAATTTCTCCATTTAGCATAGATGCATAATCTTTTCAAGTGATGCATACCAAGCTAGTTGTTGTCTTTAGGTGTAAAATGTGTAGTGAATGGTTTGGGAGTTGAAAATTGGTCTAAATGAAGGGCAAAGGAGGGCTTAGTAAAATTTAGAAGGATAGACTAGTATGTCCTAATATGTCTTTTGATGCATCTAGTTTTGACACCTTTCTTGAACGTTTAACATCAGAGCATCAAAGCATCTTGTAGCACCACTATGCAAGCAAGGTAGCCCAGTTTTTCCATTATGCAGATGACATAGCTGGGACACAGGGAGAGCAAATTACTGGCCCAAAGCCTCACAGAAAGACTGGAAAAAAATAATGAATTGATCAGCACTCCCTGTGGAAAGTCAGCACAGTACTTGCTGCAAAATCCTTTATGTGTAGGGGTTTTAACTGACCAGGCAATTGCTTATTTATCTGTTGTATTCCAGGGCTTCTTGTTGTATCCTTACTTTCCTGTTTCTGGTAAATAAATTTTTCAAACAACATCTCTCTGTTCAACTTGATTAACACGTTTGTTCCCAACCAAAGAGGTTGTTTTTAGGAGGTCTGTGCCATATAGGAGCATTTTAGCATGGTGACATGCTCCTTTGTGATGCTTGCTTGCTGGAGAAAATATTTCTAAATTTGTGGAAAAGCCTTGTCCACTGACAACACTCAAGGGTGAGTAACAATTATTTCTGGTGAAAGCCAGTTCTCTACCTAGTATATGACAATAGCTGACTGCATTTTCAGGTGCTCCTAGATACGTTCACCCACTATGTGCAAGTAAACATGGTTCATCATGTTTTACACATGGAGGAAGTGGTTTGAAAAAAAAAAAAAAAAGAGCAAACCCTATTACTCATCCTTACAGTTTCTAGAGATTTGGGCTGGACCAGTGGGAAAGGTACAGTTCATTTTATCAGCTGGAGAGCAGTCTTTACTGATTCAAAGTCAGGAGATCCTGTTTAAGCAAAAGTCGTGAACAGATAATGTGGGGCTGAAAGAATGTGACCTGAAAAGACTAAGTAAATAAGCTCCCATTATATTCACATATGATGGATCCATAACTATATAATGTAACAGAAAGATTATATTAGCCTTGATTATGAATCACAAAAAAAAATTACAAATAATTCCTGTCAGTCTGCAGAGTACTTCTAAAGAACAAATTTAATTCCCAGAGTAATGTTTGTGATGTATGTGAAGCCGTATTAGGTACAGTAAGTAAAGTAAAGCAAGGTTAACCTAATCTCCATGAAACAAACATTAAAAATAAGCCCAGAGTAACAGGTCCTTTTTCCACTTCACTTATTCATTAATCAGTTCCAATATTTCTTCCTGAATTTTCAGGGGCATTCAGAGCTGAAATGATTAGTAAACCAAATCCTAAGGTAACATGGAAAGGAGAGGGAAACTTTCCTAAGGAACATGGAAAGTACCAGTAGAGGGACCCAGAGTGTTGTTCACAATATCACTAAGGAATATTGGTAACACTTTTTGCTTTATTTATTTATTTCCACAATAAAACTTTAAATAAGAAAAAGCTAATCACTATAATATTTATCAGTAGCTAAGAAAATGTCCCAGGTTGCAGTAGTCCTACTGCAGCACTGCTACTTGCCAATACTGTTGAATGTTTGTAGGGCATTGTTTCCAATCAGCAGCAAACAACACTAGAGCAAGAACTGCTATTTTTGTTACTTGGTTATGCATTTATTGTAGTGCGGCACTAATGCCCCTTGTGTGCCTTTCAGGCAAAAATAAAAAAATAAACAGTGCTAAACCTCAATAATTTGTAATATTATTCAGGACTTTCTAATGTGACTCTGGAGGCTTGCCAGTGTGATTCCCATCTACAAGAAGAGTCTAAGGAAGATCTGGGAAACTACAGACCCATCAGCCTGACATCAGTGCCAGGAAAGGCTACGGAACAGATCATCTTGAGTGAGATCACTGGTATTTGCTGGACGATGGGGAATCAGGCCCAGCTAGCATGGGTTCATGAAAGGAGGAACCTGCTTGACCCGCCTGATCTCCTTTTATGTATTGTTAGCACTTTGGCAAACTCCCAGCAGATGGGCTGGCAGACAAGGTGGTGGGAAGGATTTCTGTAATCTGTTTTCCCAGCAATGACCATCTGATGGGGGAGCATTGAGATCTCTATCTATGTTCTCTGATGCTATGAAAACTTGTTTGGAACTGCATGAATCCCTCTTCCAAGAGAGGTCTAGATATCTCGAATGTTATAACATGACAGTTGCTTATTTACTTGGAAAAGAAGCATGAATTTTTTGTGAAGTGCTATGTGCAGGGGACCTCCAGCTCTGAGGAAGAACGTAAAGAAGTTGGTGGTTGAGGAGAAAGAAACATTGGAGATCATCCCTAAGAATCTGGAGAATTTAGAGAAGGCCTGTGTGAACGTCTCTCATTTCTCAGGAAATTGAAAGAGGTGAAGGAGGAAGTGGAGGTTGAAGTTAGTGTCATAGTACCTCAAGACCCTTGACAGAGTCAAAAAAAAAGCATGCATCCAAAAAGACAACTGTGATGGAAGACAGTTACACATCCCAGATGGAATAAGTATCTACATTTTTTTGCAGCTGGACAAAAGCTGGATATTCAAAGAAATGTGAAGAAATTGTGTCGAATCCTGACAAGGTAAAAAATGTTTTCAGAACCTCTCTTCAGTTAATGTCTCTAGGAAGATCTTTCACTGGAGATGAAATCCATATCAGATCAGATTTATGGTGTTAATGTAGCACCCTAATAGACTACCTAAGGTCTGCAATCCAGTATTCCTTAGGATAAGGCATTCTGGATGCCTTGGACAGTGTTGGACTAGTCCCTGCCCAGGAATTCTACAGTCCAAATGAGGTGTATAAAGGACATAGTAATGTTTCTATTCTGCCAAGGAACAGTTGGTAGAAAAATCCAGAAAATTATCCCAGATTCCATGGCTGTGCCAGATAGTGGACCAAATCTCTGAAGTCCCTAATGTAATTCTTCAGTTACTTAACAGCAGAATTTCTGAAATATCTGGAAAGCAGGTAAAATGTTTGCTTTTGAATACCAAAGATGGCAAGGAAGCTGAATATAGGAAATGTAATAAATAAATAAATAAATAAATAAATTGTAATCATAGAATGGTTTGGGTTGGAAGGGACCTTAGACATCTTCTAGTTCCAACCCCAGTGCTGTAGGCAGGGTTGCTACCCTCTAAAAGAGGCTGCCCAGGGCCCCATCCAATCTGTCCTTGAAGCAGATGGGTAAGAAATATACACTGTGCATCACCAACATAAAAAAAAGAAAAATAGAGCTGGGTGCCTACAGAATTTTTGTGAGAGTCATGATGCTGGTGATGTTGGTTACAGAATTACAGAGGTTCTGTGTATGAAAACAATATCTGAAGAGAAAAGAAAAGAGGGTCAAAACTATGATTTTGTAGTTTCGTAGATTTTTGTATCAAAAAGTAGCCCAAACTATGATCTGCTTTCTTATTTTTCTAAATGTCTTTGTAACATTCATATTACTGATGTTTTAGGCTCAAACAGAAATCTAACATTCAAGTCATAGACTAACCCACAATTACCAGAGCACTCGTGTGAAAACACCTTTTATGAGATAGCACATCTCAGCTTGAAGCCTGCTTATTACACATAATAAGCTAGGCTGACGTCAGTGTGGCAGGAATGTGAGTCACTACTGAACTTGGACCAGTTTTAGAGGAAAAATGGGAATGATAAACTGTACCTCAGCACTTGATAAAAATGATGCTGCCCACCTGCCTTACCTTCTACTGCAATAAGGCCATCCCTTAAAAATAAGCTTTGCCAGAAGTACCATTCTTTAAGTGCACTACTTATATGTGCTAGAACTACTAAAAAAAATATTATTTGGTAGAATAGCATTACTTAAGCCAAATAGCAATCCTTGCCAGGCACAGCAGCACTCTTAGCAGATAACACAGAAAGATATCAGTCTTCTTTCTGCTTCCCAATCAGTTCCAGAATATGCCAAATAGTTCCAGGTATCTCATCAGCAGCTGCCTGATATCATGTCCTTTACAATGACATAGAGTCAGGAGAGGGGAAAAAACAAAACTAAGGCAGAAGAACTGAACAGAAAGCAGCGTGTCGTTAGGTGGTTGGTATTGTAAGATTGCATGCAACTTCTGCTGAGTATTTCAAACTAGTTAACTTAATTTCTGCTGAAGTTGAAGGACTTAACTGATCTTTCTGCTATCATTCAAGAAACAAATCAAAATGACTTCACTAGTCTTGTTATGTAGGAAATCAGAGATTGGAAACTAAGCAAAACAAAAAATTGTCTTTTTGGTATTTTAACAGGTTAACCTGTAACATTCCTGATAGAAACAAAACCACTGAAAATGACCAAAAAACATTGCTAGCTATGATGTTTGAAATGGGCCTGCTAAAGAAAATGCCAAACTTCACGTGGAAATTCAATGGGCAAGTGTGGAAGCAGGACAGTATGTATGAGGTCATTGCATCTGATGATTGTACTGGCCCACACTTAGGATATCCTGTCCTGTGAACTTCAGAACTCAATGCTGAAACTGGAGATACAGAGCGGAAAGCTCCATTCTTCATTGATCACAGGTAAATCAATGTAAGCTTCTTCAGGTGGTAAGTAAATCAAATGTGTTACAGCAGTATTTGAGCTACGAAATTCATAGAGCTAAAGTGCAAATCCCCTAAGCCTTGAGCCCGCGTTGTACCCTGAAAAAGCAAAACTGCCTTGTTTGATTTGTGAAGTGCTTGCTGATTTGTGCCATTTTTTTTTGGCTGTTCCTCTCCCCTTTCTTAGAGGTTACAGTTCAATTCATCAGCAAACCTGAGAATACCCAAAGGAAGAATGGAAAATCCTGTCTGGAGTATGTGCTGATTTTGGAAGATGTCACTCTGAAAGAGATGAGGAATTGATGGGTGATTGAAAGATTTCAAGTACACTAGGAATCATGAAGGGAAGAGAGCAGAGCTTATCATAATGTTGATGAGCCAGTGACTCAGGAACTTGTATAGGCATTGCTGTGTGAGACAGTGAACCTAACGACTGCTACAGCAGCTCCATTGTAACTGGGAAGGTATGTATGATTGGTCCAAGGAAGGAAAAGAAACGGTAGCAGCCTTTGTACTGTTCTTCATTGTAGAGCAGTAGTGTTGCTTTGTTATAACAGCCACAAAACTGATTTGAGATAATGCTGATCTGAAGTCTATTTATCGTTTAATGTGGAATAAGCCATTAGTCTGTGCTTTGTTTTGGTATTAGGAAGATAATAATTAAGGACGTCCCTTTGCTGTAGAGTTAGAAGCATAAAGCAGTAAATCTTCCATCTAAGTCCTTGTTTGTACCACCTGAAGCAGCCTAGTAAAGTATAGTGGTTTTCATTTTAACCAGGATTGTCATAATGAATTCTTGTTCTTTAAGGTGACCCATGGGATGTTTGAATGCTAAGGACCAGGGGCACAACATGAGACTCTTGGTGTAGTAAATATTTAATATCGTGTTTATATTTTTAATTAATTTTGCAGTAGCATCATTGATACTATAAACTTGTACCTAAGATCTATATAGAAAGACACAAGGCTGCTGGGAGGTGAACGTTGGCAAAAATCTTTGTGCTCTCATCATGGGCTGGAGAAGAATTTCTAAGTTCTTCCTCACAGAGTGGATTTTAGTAGCTTTTAGTATCTGTGATAACTTCTGTTTATTGTAGACAAGCTTTGAGTATGCCCAGATGCCTTCCATGAGAAGCATATCATTTAAGACCATTTTAAAACAAAGTGATTGGAAAGAGGAAACAGTCATATTAGCATATCTTTTGCAGGTTCAAGAACAACAGAATATTTAGTTGGTCAGATGGTATGAAGGAAACCCCAAGGACAAAGAGGAGCTCAGCTGTGAGGTCAGGCAGATTTTAGGCGGTTTGCTGCCCACCCTGACATCTGTTTCTGAGTCTGGTTTGTCTCTACTAGCTTTGCGTTTTCTGCATCAGATGATATCCCACAAACCCTGGTTTGACTTGATGCACAGACTTGGGTGGAAGTCACCCTATTAGTAGCATTTTGTCCCAAAACAGGACAGATGAAAGGAGCAGTTTCCCAATGGCAGCCCTTAGCTTTCCAGGCATGCAGCCTTATGAGGAGTCCATGGCCAAGGTTGAGATTGGCTGGCAGTGAGCATGGAAACCCCAACTCTTGGAGGATGGGTACCAGTCCTAGAATGTGAATGTGGCAGTGTAGGGACTGTGTGGGGTGGGAGGATTCTCTGACCTTTCCTCCAGTGAAGAAGCTATTTACATGTTATAGGTAACCTGGAAAGCCACGGATGAGCTGCCTCTCCCATGCAGAGGTTCAAAAGGCTCCTACCAGATCCTACACACAACGGAATTGCAGTCTGGTATCTTTTTTATAGGCTCATATTTCCTTATGCAGAGTTCAGGTTCAGATATAAATGTTAGAAATGTTGCAGAAATGTTTATCTGGTTTGAAAGTTCTTTTGGACCAGCTGCGGATCTAGAATAGTGCAAGAGGCTTCTTTTCTGCTTCAGCTTTTGGGTTCCTTGAGCTGCTTTCCCTCTAGTGGAAAAACACCCATGAAGACGGATAAAAGCTATATAAGAACAGGCTCTCTTTACCCCCATTTCTTTCCCTGATGCGCAGTTTACCATGCAGAGATAATAGCCTTCATCCTAAGGGTTTTTGACTAAGGAGAAACAGGCGGACAGATCAGACAAGGACTGATCTAATCCTTCCCAGTCTTCCACAATCTCAATCCTACTAAGTCTAGACTTTAATTCTTCACTTTTTCAAATTTTTCCTTCCTGGTCTCCTGTGAAGGTGCCTATATGATTTCACGTTTGTTAACATATTTTCTCACCCTGTAGACACGCATTCATTCCCGAAAGGTTGGCTTCTCACCATCCTCTCTTCTCTCTCACTCAGTCTCAGATTTTCAGAGTAATTAGTGAATGTATCCTTTGCATGCTAATACATACCCTTCATTACATGCCATGCAGCTTTTCTAGGCAAATACATAGATCACCGCCCACGGAATTCATTCTGTCCATAAATCACAGAACACTGTGCCAGATAAAGTCTTGGAAATCCTGATTTCTTGGTCATCTTAGAGCAGGAAATTCTGAGGTTCAGGGACAGGGTCAGAGAAGGTGTTTGTTGCAATGGGTGTTGTTTTATGCCTCAACCTTCTTGTCAGATTATAGCCATGAAAGGAATCTGGGTACTGTAGTAGGAAGCAAACTCATCAACAGTTTAAAAGAGGAGCATGAAGAGAGGCATATGCTCAGCCAAGGTGACAGGGGACAAAGCAAGAGTTGACACTGCAGGCATCTAAGCCATCTCCTTACTATTGTTAACACTAACACTTGCAGAATCTGTGCTTCATCAGGTCCCTTCAGCTGGGGCTGTACCATTTTTAGGCTTATCTGTCTGCGTGAGCAAAACTTTTCTGCTCCATTGTCTCCATAGCCAAGGGGAGAAAATTGAACAGTCATACCAACTGATTTTAAATGAAAAATACAGGTTTCCATGTTTATGAATCTGTGATGGAGAATTTTGGCCTTAACCTTTACTTGAAACGTTGTCACAAGCAACGAGAAAAACACCTTTTCTGAAATTATACATGATGTAAATATGTGTATTACTCAGCTCTTGGCAGCCAGATGGCGCCAGATGGACTTTCAGAATCATCTGCAGCATGGAAAAGAGCCTCTTCTCCAAATAAAGGCGAGATGGATGGATACCGCTGCCAAGACAGTGGGACAAATGGAGCAGTAAGGATGCTGTGGCTGCAGCATCAAATATAGATTTATAGAACCTGTGTGCAGTGAAAACACATCCACAGCAAAGCCTTGGTACAGGGAATGATTTTCCTCCAGTCAGAAATATTGACTGTATTTTTATGACTATTTCAGCAGGTTGTCCTTTGTAATCGTATACCTGACAAAAGGAAAAACACAAATATTTAGGAACTTGGTTATTTTTCTTTATTGTGCACAGAACATCCTTACCATTTTCCCATATAGCTCTAACAACTATGGAATGTTTTGTTTACAAGCAGTAAACTTTGATTCCAGCATCTTTCTTGTGATTACGGCTTATCCAAATGGGGTCTTAGGAAAGAATAGCACAAAGGGTTTCCTCTTTTGCCCTCAAAACTTAAAAACTGCCTGGAAATAAATCTCAAGGACCTAGAGAACTGCGGAGCACTTGGCAATTGCTATTTCTTAGAACTCCCTCCTTTTCTGCTGAGCTGAACAACTGAAGGAAATCAGCCAGGTTTCTTGTTCAAGAAACAGAACTAAACTGCCTGAATCAAAACACACTGAAGATTTTTCATGTCCTTGAAAGTTTTCAAGGGGCCCAACTTTGGACTACCTTTGGGAACTAACAGACACAGGAAAAATGGTAGGGTGTATTTGCAGCTGCAGCTTTCAATTGTTTTCTTTTCAGATTCTCCTGTTACTGAAGCTTTTAGCTGCACATAGTGTAACTATGAAGAATGAGCATACTGAAAGTGCCTTTTAAGCCATAGGCATTGTGTGAAGTCATGTTTCTGAGATGGTGTTAAATGGCAGAGAAAGAGGTGATGGAGAAAACCAGTGACTGTGTTACAAGCAAACGCTGTGTAAGACAAGACAATGGAGCTGTTAATGCTGAATCTCAGAAAATAACTGGCTCAGATTTGGACAGTCTTTACCTCAGCATTGTTGGTAGGGCCTCATATTAATCATTTTATAGCAGGCATGTCACTAGCAGACGTGTTGGGCTGCAAACACTAATTCAGAATTTCTCTTAAAAAACAAAACAAAACAAAACAAAAAAAACCCTTGCAGTGGTTTCTTGAGTGATTCAAGTCCAATTTTGCTGTAATCAATAGAACTACCTTGATTTACACTGTGGAAGGATATGACCCTCTAAGTAAAGGCCCTCCATGTCATTCTAGTCAGCTGTACACACTGCAAACAATCCAAAATCTCCACAGGGGAAAGCAGAGTTCCTGGAACACACAGAGAATATGCACTGTAATGAAATGGAAAGCACTCAAAGGCAATGGAGGAAAACTGGTAACTTGCTTCACATCAAGAGGAGAATGGCTAGGGAAAATATCTTGGATCAAAGTAGGGGTGGTGTGGAGTGGTGGAAGAATTTGGTGTGGAGAAGGTGGAAAAAAGAAAAGCATACCAATTCAACTCTGAGGGCGTCAGTATCCCCTGGAAACAGAAGAACAGAAATTATTGCCAGATGACCTATTGGGTAAGCATGTGCGGATCTTAGACCAGCTGTTTTTAATGTAGTTTCAGTGTCCTGCTTCCCATCGTTTTTGTCCTCTTCCTTCTTGCCAGTTCCCAAAGGAACGCTGTCCTCATGCTTGAGGGACAAATGAGAAGGACAGGAGCTTAGAAACTGTTTTGTGCTTGGACTAAAACCAGGGCCAAACAAATAGCAATCCTTTCACTACCAGTGCTTGCAGACTCATAAACCCCTCAACTGGCCATGAAAGAGGACTGACTAACGCTCTCTTCTAGTGTCAGTTACATAAGCTTAGTAGAATATGGCAGAACTGAAGTGTCTTTGTCTGGAAAATATTGTGGAGGAGAGAAGATAATTTAAAAGGGAATGCTTAAAAACATTTTGTTTTGCAGCCAAGAAAGAAAATATATCAGCCAAAACCTAAGTTAGTTAGAAAATTCTACTGAACTATGTTCTGGGACTTACAGTTTGGGTACCTCCTGTGCTTGTTTTCCATTATGTACTGGGATCCCTAGAGAAGCTGTTCGTCCTGCCATTTGTAGCTCTCTTTTTCCCAGGATCAAAGTGTATCACAGAAGACAGTGTAGACAGTGGGTCTGGCCTGTTGAAGCATTTCAGAAGTAAAATTTCCAAACTGAAGTAATATATGTCAGTTCTCACCTAAAGTGTTGCAATTTTCCATTTTTATCCAAACTTCTTATGGATTAAGGAAAGTGTTTCTGTGCAGCTCTGTAGCATACTGCAGAAAGAGCTCATTTTTGGAATAAATGCAAGCATTTAAATGTTTCAACCTTTGAAGTG